TTGCACAGATGTGTGTCCTGTTGGCTCTATTCTTTTTTTTTTTTTTTTTGAGACAGGGTCTTGCCCTGTTGCCATGGCTAGAAATGTAGTGGCATCATTATAGCTCACAGCAACCTCAAACTCCTGGGCTCAAGTGAGCCTCCTGCCTCAGCCTCTCAAGTAGCTGGGACTACAGGCACATGCCACCACAGCTGGGTAATTTTTCTATTTTTTTGTCTCACTCTTCCTCAGGCTGGTCTCCAACTCCTGACCTCAGGCCATCCTCCCCTCTCGGCCTCCCAGATTGCTAGCATTACAGGCGTGAGACACTGTGCCCAGCCCTGTTGACTCTATTTTTAGACAATTTAGTATGAGCACCTGCACCTGGGCCTCCCTTGATAGAGAGGCGCACCCTCGGCCTGGTAGGATTCTCAGCTTGTGGCAGGTTGCACTTTCCTCCTGTGCTCAGAGATTCACTTGCATCTTCGTCTCCTCAGTGATCATGAGCCAGCATCTACACTCTCTTGTTTTGGAGCATTAAAAAACAAAACAAAATGAAAAAAATTTTTTGTTTTGAGATAGTTGTAGGTTTTCATGCAGTTGCCAGAAATAATACAGAGATCCCATGTCCCTTCACCCAGTTTCCCCCAATGGTAACATCTTGCATAACTAGAGCACAATTATCACAACCAGGAGATTGACATTGACACAATCCATCCATCTTATTCACATTGTTCCAGTTTCATGTACACTCTTACACACGTATGTGTATTTAGTTCTGGGCAGTTTTATCACGTGTATATTTGTGTGACCACTACCAAAATCAAGATGTAGAGCAATCTGTCAGAATGATCCCCTGGTGCTACCTCTTTGTAGCTACAGCCACCCCCACTCCTCCCCACATCCTTGGCAACCAGTAATCTGTTCTTCATCTCTATAATTTTATGTTTAAAATGCTATATAAATGGAATCGTGAAGTGTGCAATTGTGGGGAGTTGGCTTTTTTCACTCAACATCATTCTCTTGAGATCCGTCCAAGTTGCTGTATCATGAGTTTGTTCCTCCTTAGTGCTGAGTGGCGCCCCAGGGTGTGTGTGTGCTGCAGGTCAACTCTTCACCTCCCAAGGAATATTTAGGTCATTCCCAGGTTTTGGCTTTTATGAATAAAGATGCTATGAACATTCACGTACAGATTTTTCTTTGAACGTGGGTTTCCATTTCTCTGGGATTAATGCCCAGGAGTACAGTGCTGGAGTTTGTGTATTTTTAGCATTCCACGAGGTGGCGGCATTCAGCCGTGGTTGCTCTTTTGGTTAGTGTTCTGGTTACAAAGGTAAACAGCTTTGAGGAGCCTGCCCCAGTCGTGTTTTTCCCATAGATCCTTTTACTTTAATGAGTCTTTTGTCCAAACTCAAGGTTTTTCAGAAATGCATATGTCATGTCAGATCCGAAACACTTTATTAAAGGTTAAGGGTTGCAGGAATAAGTGGAGTCACAAACGGTAAAGACTGAGTTTCCTTCTCCTTTCGCCAGGGATGACGGCTCCTCTTCCTCAGTCTCCGCACTCAAGCGCCTGGAACGGAGTCAGTGGACGGACAAGATGGATTTGCGGTTTGGCTTTGAGCGGCTGAAGGAGCCTGGTGAGAAAACCGGCTGGCTCATCAACATGCATCCCGTAAGCACCAGCGCCATCCCTCGGTCTTCCCCACTCAGGAGGGCAGCTGCACCCCTTCTCGTCAGAGCATGGTCCTTGTCTGAAGAGTAGGGGGTGTGGGGGGCCCTGCTGTTTGGGTGATGCAGGTGGGAGGTGTGACTGTTCCCAGCTCCCCTCCTCTCCTGTCTAATATCATGGAGGGGCCTCCTGTCAGCTGTCAGAGCTTTCCAGGATCATGAGGGAGAAATTCAGAGAAATCCCCACTGCGGGGCTGCTGTAGATGAGGCTAGCAGTGTTCATGCGGAGGTGGGGTAAAGAGCTAGATGGTTTTGTTATTCAAGTGCTCAGTTTCTCAGAGTAGAAGGGAAAGGGTTTTACACTGTGCAGAGGATAATCTTCTGCCTATGCTGACTAACTCTCTTGTAGACTGAGATCTTAGATGAAGATAAACGTTTAGTCAGTGCGGTGGATTACTACTTTATTCAGGACGATGGGAGCAGATTTAAGGTAAGCCCCTGACCCCAAGAAGCTAAAACCCACTTGTGACAAGTGCCTGAGTGTTCATTTAGCTCTGCCACTGGGGGCAGTGGGAGGCTTCTAATGCACAGGTGGGAGCTGCATCTGGCGTGACCTAAGGTGCTTGAGAGAACTTAGCTCAGGAAAACTCTGAAAGGCAGGTGGTGTTGTGTGTCAGATTCTTGTCCTGAGATATTAGCAGATCCGAATTTCCTGTTATACCATCTCTCTTAAGAGCTCTCAAGGTCAAGGATGCATTGGATTTAGGCTGCTCATGGGTTATAACAGCAAACAGTCTGTCTTCACTTTTCTCTCCCTTTTTCCTTGCTCATTGCTCCTGGATGGGTTGGTGCCTGTGGCAGGTGGCCCTGCCCTATAAACCATATTTCTACATTGCAACCAGAAAGGTAAGTCCATGTTTCATGGAATCCGCTCAGACGACCTGTGGTGGGCTTCAGAACTGGGAAATAGGCAAGGGAGGAAATACCTTTCACCAACGGAAAGTCTTTCATTCTGGTCCTGATTTAGGGTTGTGAGCGAGAAGTTTCATCTTTTCTTTCCAAGAAGTTTCAGGGTAAAATTGCAAAAGTAGAGACTGTCCCCAAAGAGGATCTGGACTTGGTGAGTATCACCCAGACCTTCCAAGGGTAAATAAGGCTGCTGTTCACATTGTTTGTGGCAGATGAGGTCGGAAGAGGTAGAAGGTTAGGTTATCCATTGGGTGGTGGGGTATGGTAAAGTCCTCTGCAAAGTAGGGGCCAGGCACAGTGGCTCATGCCTGTAATCCCAGCATTTTGGGAGGCCGAGGCAAGAGGATTGCTTGAGGCCAGGACTTCAAGACCAGCAATATAGTGAGACCCTGTCACTACAAAAAATTTTTTAAAAAGTAGCTGAGCGTGGGATCGCACGTTTATAATCCCACCTACTCGGGAGGCTGAGGCAGGAGGATCACTTGAGCCCAGGAGTTTGAGGCTGCAGGGAGCTATGATGATGCCACTATACTGTAGCCTGGGCAACAGAGTGAAAGCCTGTCTCTTAAAAAAGAAAGGTGATGTTAGTTGGTGCCACATTCAGAGTTGGACAGGGTGCTTTGGAGTCAGTGACTCTTTGGGTATGTTTACCTTTGAGACTTTATTTACCCTCTTGTTTTCTCTCACCAACAAAGTCCTGTCTCTCTTGAACTCATGGGTGTGATCTCTTTTACTTCCTTAGCCAAATCACTTAGTGGGTTTGAAGCGAAATTACATCAAGCTATCCTTCCACACGGTGGAGGATCTTGTCAAAGTGAGGAAGGAGATTTCCCCTGCTGTGAAGAAGAACCGGGAGCAGGACCATGCCAGCGATGCATACACAGCTATGCTCTCCAGGTAAGCTTCATTCTCAAGAGGAAGTGCCCACTGGTCCAGAGTGACAAGATGGGTAGGAGGCAGGAAAATCAGCAGTGAAGGACCTTAATGATGGGTCCATGTGATGTGGAAACACTTGAGCAGTCAGGTAGAAATTTCTGTATCCTCTGATTAAATACAGTGGCCTCCCAGGTTGTATTTTATTTTGTATTTTAGCTCTCCTTCTTGTGTAGGGGGTGGGTTTGTGGCTGTAAAATTGAGTTGCTATAACAATAAAGACATTTTAGAGGGAGAAGGATCCCTTATCCCACCCCCAAGGTAGACCATCTACAGATTTTTATTAAGTGCCAAGATTCATACAGCATGTCTTCCCCAGAGAACCTTGGGTGTTAATAGAGAAATTTGAGTATAGAACACCAAACACTATTCATCAAATGTTTAAGTATCAACCGTAATAGGAAGCAAGGTAAAAGATTAAATCTTGAGTAATTAAGTTGGGATGACTTCAGAAGAGTTAATCTTATCCTCTGACAAAACATCAGTTGGGACCCTGAGCATTTCTGCCATCCTGACCCGTCTTCCCCAGCAATGCCATAAATTACTTTTCAGAATATTGGAAGGTGAGACTCTGAGACTGAGTCCTCAAAGGCCAGAGTCATATCTGAGTCTTGTCTTTTTTTTCCCTGAATAGTCAATTCAGTATTTGAGCTTAGTGGGCTGATAGCAGCCACAGGGATAGGCCACATCCGTAGACACAGCAGAGACCCATGGGTAGGCCATGTGAACTGGGGCCTCAGTAACAGAGAGGACCTGGAGGGGCAGCCACCCCGGTGCTGTCCTCACTGGCACCACTGAGGGTTGTTTTCTTTTTTCTCTTAATTGGGATGTAACTTCCATCGTATTAAATGCACACATCTTAAGCGTATGTTGCATTTTCTCATGTCTGTGGCCTGTTGCTCCGGGAAGGTGATCATCAAAGGCCATTGATTAGGGAAGGGCTGCCCTGGTCATCAACAGACACCACCTTGATTTACCTTTTGTGTTTACCCTGTGAACTCTGGTCTTCACCTCTCCGGTCCCCAGCAGAGGATAGTTGAGTTAGCCACACTCTCTTTGTCTCCCAGTGTTCTGCAAGGGGGCAGTGTGATCACCGATGAAGAGGAGGCCTCTAAGAAGATAGCCGACCAGCTGGACAACATCGTGGACATGCGCGAGTACGACGTCCCCTACCACATCCGCCTCTCCATTGACCTGAAGATCCATGTGGTGAGTGTGACGGGGCCAGGCAACTGCTCATGTGAAGTTCCCGACAGTCAGGGGGTAACACTTACGGGTAAATCCACAGAGAAATAGGCTTCCCTGGACGTAGAACTCTAATAACACACTACACATTCTGCAGGCTCATTGGTACAACGTCAGACACCGAGGGAATGCTTTGCCCATGGAAATCACCCGCCGAGATGACCTCGTCGAACGACCTGTGAGTGCTGTTTGCATTTCCTCTGTCCTGAAATTTCACCTTTTCTGGAGAGAGCACATTTAGTGCTGAAAGGTGGATTCGACTCAAAAATTTGTTTGCTTCTTTTTCCTCAAATGCTTTCTTAAAAGAATTACGGAATTAAAATTATTTTCATGTGTTTTTGACCTGAGACCACCATTTCATTTAGCATCGTACTACGTTACCACGTGGCATCAGTATTTGAGCTAGGCTGGATTTGGATGTTTGAGGAAAAGCTATCGCTTCCATTTTCCAAGCTGATAAGTGACATGGCGAGAAGTGGATTTGCAACTGGAAGGCCTTGGTTCAAGCATGGCTTTGTGAGCTTAGGAAAGTCCTTGTTCAGTTTTCTCATTTCCAAAATGAAGATGCCAGCGCTGTACCACAGTCACCTGTCAGGCTATTGTAAAGGTCAGCATGAGGTGACGCATGTTAAAGAGCTTCGAGACCATGGTGCTCTGTCGGCTTGTTCTGTGATCTCCTGCGCTGCCTCTGTCCCGCAGGTGTTTGGTTCGTCATGCCCTTAGTGAACTCCCCTTCCTGACCCTGGACAGTCCATCCCGAGGTACCTGCCCTGGCTCTTTTGAGCCTTTCCACTCTTGCTGTAGCCACCAGAGGTGCCGCAGGCTGGTGGTGGGTTCCCAGAGTTCGGCTTTATGCTGTTTTGTCCTTCCAGGATCCTGTGGTTTTGGCATTTGACATTGAGACAACCAAACTACCTCTCAAGTTTCCTGACGCCGAGACAGACCAGATTATGATGATTTCCTACATGATCGATGGACAGGTGAGCAGTGACCTGGGGGAGGTAAGCTCTTGCAACAAGGACCTCGTCTGGTCCCTGAGTGAGAGCAGCATCTGCCCATGGTAGTGTTTGCTGAGTGAGTAAGGAGTGAGAAGAGCCCAGGAACGGAAGCAAGTGTGCTGTTCTGATAGCCAGCTGTGCTCCCTCCTTCCTAACGAGAACTAGACATTAGTGTCCCTTCTTGGGGAGCTTACGGTGCCTTCACATTGCTGCAGAGTTCTTTGTAGTACGAGTCTCCTGCCGGAGTTTCTGGGCCGTGTTGGGAGGCCATGTCTCAGCTTTGCTATCTCTGACTTGTGTTAATTGCTAATCAACTTCGCCAGGGCTACCTCATCACCAACAGGGAGATCGTTTCAGAAGATATTGAAGATTTTGAGTTTACCCCCAAGCCGGAATATGAAGGGCCCTTTTGTGTCTTTAATGAGCCCGATGAGGTAAAGAGCATCACTTGGGACGTTGCTGGGTATTTTGGGGTGAAATGGGAAGAAGAGGCATGCGGATCCTTGGGCACCCGATGGATCAGAACCGCAGCTCAGTGAGCTCTGTTCTCAGGGTGTGATCGTCTTTCCTGGTGGCAACCGGAGGGTGGTGTGGGGATAAGGGATGACAGGAGGCTGCCTCTGAACTTGGAGAGAGCAGTTTGGAAATAGCCTGGCGAAGAGAGAGCCCACCCCTGACACGTGACTTGCTGGGCTCAGGTTCATCTGATCCAAAGGTGGTTTGAACACGTCCAGGAGACCAAGCCCACCATCATGGTCACCTACAATGGGGACTTTTTTGACTGGTGAGTGTGATGTCTTTGTGAGTAACTAGAAGGTGGCAGGGAAGGGGTGTTTGGTGGTGCGAGTGGGCTTCTCATTCGACTGAGGAGGTGGCTGGCATGTGGGGATCCCAGCTGTGCTCTGGTGTCTCCTGGAATCATCCTCCGTGTGTCCGAGAGAGGAGAATTAGAGGCTAACCTGTCCCTGTTGCTTGTCTGTTCTCTTCTGTGCCCAGGCCGTTTGTGGAGGCCAGGGCGGCAGTGTACGGCCTGAGCATGCACCAGGAGATAGGCTTCCAGAAGGACAGCCAGGGAGAGTACAAGGCGCCCCAATGCATCCACATGGACTGCCTCAGGTAGGCCCCAGCGCTCAACACCGTGGCCTCACACGTGGGATCTGAAGGCTCAAAGGCTCCCCTCTCACGCGTACTGCACATCAACACATCTCGCACGGGAGGAGGTTGGACTCCAAGAAGCAGTTCTGGGTCATCTGAGAACACAGCAGCTGTGGCTGTGTCTTTGATTGCCAGCTAGTCGCTCATGTAGTCAGCACGCACATGCTGACTGTCAGCTTGCGGCGGGGAGGGGGAACGCCAGGGCAGAAAGGAACACTCCAGGAGAGTGGGGTCCCTGTGCTGCACGAGCTGCAGAGGGACCTTGGCTCGCCCAGGCAAGGCTGTGGACGCGGCAGCCAGGCTGGTCTCACAGGGCAAGCACAGATTCCAGACAGCAGCCAGGGCGTGAGGCAGCTCAGAGGTGTGGAAGGTCATGGTGTCTTGGGGGCTCAGGCATGTCTGAGTGGGAGGAAGGATGTGGAAATGCTGAGAAAGAAGACCAGAGGGGGCGGAGTCTCCACGGGCCTTCTGTGCCAGGTGAGAAGGTGGGTTCTTCTCGACCGGCACCGGGTGCCACTGGAGCATTTGAAACGTGACCGCGTTTCTGTTTAGCTCTGGCATCAGCACTTGGGTTGGTGGGCAGGAGACTGGGCCAGTTCAGAATGTGACACAGTGACAGTCCTGGTACAAGGTGAGTGCAAGGCTGAGAGGACTGTGGGTCTGCTGATCTGTGGTGGACGGGGACAGGGACACTGTTCTCAGGATGGGGTGGGCTCCTGGAGTCTCTGCCATCAGGGGAGGCTGGGAACAGGGCAGAGAGCAGGTTTCACATGGAAGGTGGTTCTGCAATCCTGCTAGCCTGGGAGCCCAGCCCACACGGGCGCCCTGGGAACCATCACGACTCAGTCTGGGCTTGTGCTGTGGATTAGGAGTCACTGGCAGGCGGGTCTTGGTGAAAGCTGGGGTAGCCGATGAACTCCTGGGACGTGAGGTAAAATGAGAGGAGAGGGCTGTGGGGTAGGCAGCCCTGGGGGAGCCACAGGAGATGGAGATGGGTTCCACGCGGGGCCTCTTGAAGAAGGGCTGGGCTTGGGTGTTTCCGTGCTCGGGCCAGTGCAAGGGGAGGAGCAGAGAAGCGCAGTGGTGTGTGGGGCAAGGCCCGATGGGTGCAGAGAGCACAGCTGAGGGAGAGGCTGTGGACATGGGTGTCTGCCCACCTGCTGCCTTCTCTCTCTGGAACGAGAGGCCAAGCGCTTTGCTGAGGGTGAGACACAGCCAAGGACTAACTCTGACGTTTCCTTACGTTTTGTGGGTGCACCTGTTGAGATGACCTAGCTCAAGATGAAAGGTTTTTGTGAGGGGCCTGCCCCATCAGGGTTTTGGTGTGGGTCTCCCGGTACCTGTTAGGGTCCTGCGCTTTCTGTGTTGTGGCCAGTTTGGCCAGTTCCTGGGTTCTCAGGCTTCGTGTTGACTCCTCCCTGGCTTCTGTTCTCATTTCCTTCCCAGGTGGGTGAAGAGGGACAGTTATCTTCCCGTGGGCAGCCACAACCTCAAGGCAGCTGCCAAGGCCAAGCTGGGCTACGACCCTGTGGAGCTGGACCCTGAGGACATGTGCCGGATGGCCACGGAGCAGCCCCAGGCACGTGAGCTGCGTCCGCTCTCCCATGCTGCTGCACGGTCGTGTGTATGCCATGCAGAGGTCGGCCTCGGCCCAGGTGCTGCTTTCTGCCCCGGCCTTGCTCCACCCAGCAGGGCTGCGCTTCCTCCAGGATGGTGTATTTTGTCCTGTGCCTGTCTCCTCCCATGGACATGTGGCAGCTGGCGAGGCCAAGCGCCTCACTGAGCTTTGCCTTCTGTGCCTCACACGTCAGCCAGGGCCAATGGTCTTTACGGTCTGTTCTATGGCGTTCTCTCCTCAGACTCTGGCCACGTATTCCGTGTCAGACGCTGTTGCCACCTACTATCTGTACATGAAGTACGTCCACCCCTTCATATTCGCTCTGTGTACCATCATCCCCATGGAGCCTGATGAGGTTGGTGTCCCCTGTCCCCACCACACTCTGGCTGTCACATCAGCACCCTCCTCTCCCCCTGCCCTGTTCTGGCTGCACCACTGCCTAGCAGAGGCAGGTGGGTCCAGGGAGGGCTGGTGTGATGTCCTTCAGGGATCCAGCCCGTGTGGGAATAACTATGGGAGGCAGGGTTTACAGCCATTTATCAACAGGCTTCCTGTCCTTTCTCGTCTACTGCAAGTTTAGGTGCCTTCCTGTGGCTCTCAGACTGTGCCTGCAATGAGGGCTGTTGGCGCAGGCTTCCAGAGTCCTTGGTCTCTCCCGTAGGTGCTCCGGAAGGGCTCGGGCACGCTGTGCGAGGCCCTGCTGATGGTCCAGGCCTTCCATGCCAACATCATCTTCCCCAACAAGCAGGAGCAGGAGCTCAACAAGCTGACGGCTGACGGCCACGTGCTGGATGCAGAGACCTACGTAGGGGGCCACGTGGAGGCCCTCGAGTCTGGCGTCTTCCGCAGCGACATCCCCTGCCGGTTCCGGATGGTGTGCTGCCTTCCTGGGCCTTCCCACTCCTGTGCTATGGTCGGGCTCAGAAGCCCCGTGGGGCTGAAATAAAGCCTCTTCTCCCCGTCCTCTCCCACAGCCCCTCCCCTGGTCTGGCGCTCCCCTGGGGCTTTGCTAGGGCAGGACTGCGCAGTGTCTTGCAGAGGGAGCATGTGGGTCCTTCTGGAGCTTTCTGGGCATGTCCCACCGTGTGGTGCACAGCAGGGCTCTGTGCACCTGCAGCAGCAGCGTCGCAGCTGAGGTGGGTGGTGCAGGTGGGTTTCCTGTCTGACTCGCGTCATCTTGTTTGTGCAGAACCCTGCTGCCTTTGACTTCCTGCTGCAGCGGGTGGAGAAGACCATGCGCCATGCCATCGAGGAGGAGGAGAAGGTGTCTGTGGAGCAGGTCACCAACTTTCAAGAGGTAACGTCCAGGAGGCAGGAAGACAGCCTGTGTTCCTGCGCCTTTCTTCAGACTCCTGCTTCCAGCAGCGTGTTTGTTACGTACCTGCCACGTGCGGTGCTGTGGACGGATGGCACCGGGTCTCTGGTGGGACGGTTGTGGGGAGTGGTGGATCTGCTGAGGTGGGAGAGTTTCACGGAGCTGTTCTTGAAATGCGGCGATGGGCTGCCCTGGGTCTCATGCCCTGTTTCAAGCCGGTAGGACTTTATTTTGTAGGCAATGGGGGGCCACTGGAGATTTTTGGTTGTATTTTGTTAAGGAGACTTTAAAATGGTGACAGATGGTAAATTCCTAAAGTGACAATAGAATCTAGTGACTGTATGGTCCAATCAAAGTGTGTTGTGACTGCAGAGGGAGACACCACTATTTGGTGGTCCCCGTTCCTTGGGACGTGGCACATCTCAGCTCTGTCAGGAATTACTCACCACCACGGCATGTTCAGTGACTGGCGGTTTGGAGTTTTTCACGGTTGTAGTATCAACGTCAAGAAACACCTTGTAACAGATTTAGACAAAATTCAAACGAGAATGCGCTTTCTTTGCAAACTGTGAGTGCTGTATGGACGTTGTCAGCTACAGCTGCTGTTACACTTCAGGGAACTCTCAGTGAGCCACTCTGGGAAGAGAGCCTAGTGTGAGTGACAAACACAAGTTAAAGAGCTTCTCAGAAGGAACAGAGATACTACTAAGAGACCATGAGATAGGCAAGCAGAGTTCGGCCGGAGGTGTTGTAGGTACAGGGACTCCAGAGCCTTGGTGAGCCCGGAGGTGGGCTCTGTAGATGACAGTCTGTCTCGTGAGCTATGTCCACAGCCTGGAAAGGGGAGCCCAGGGTCACCCTTGTGTTCCTGAGGGACCACCCAGAGGTCACACAGGCAGCTGGGGGAAATCAACAGGGCTTGGAGCAACCTGAGGTGTGTCCAGGTGGGGTCCCCCGCCTTAGAAACAGCCTTTCAGCTGCTCCCGCCCTGTTCACCTTTCTGGGCCTGGCAGCGTTTCAGGACGTCCTCAGCAGGCGAAGAAGGGTAGAGTGGAGCTGGTTGTTCCAAGTCGTTTGCCTAAAGTTCAAGCAGAAACTAAGCATTGCGTTTGTGGCATTTCCTGTTCCACGCGATAGGTGCTCATCTTTGTAATTATTTCTTCTTACAATTTTAGGTGTATTTTCTATTTTTTACTACTTTGAAGGGTTTTAAGGATTTTTTAAAGACTAAGGACAGTTTTGTGTTCAAGAGATTTTCTAAAAAGATTTTACCAAATTTATCGTGTTTTGTAAAAGTGGTGGCTAGCCTTCTGGTTAACTTTTTTCTGCTGGTTAATTTTTGCTCATTTAGATATTTTTCAGCTTTTTCTACCCTTGAATGTCTAACACGGGTTGGCAAACTGTGGAACACAAGGCCTGTTCTTATACAGGCAATAAACTAAGAATCGTTAAGTTTTTAAAGCATTGTTTAAAAAAAAATAACCAAACAAGAATATGCAATACATCATTCTCTTGTTGGCTGTAAAACCTAAAATGTTTATTATCGTGTCCTTTACAAAGAAAATTTAGCAACCCCAGAACTAAATTATTTTTAAAATTTTTAGCCAATTTGTATAAGAATGCCAATGTATTAAATTTTCTAATAAATATTATTAGATTAACTCCTGGATATAATAGTTCTCAAATTTTGGCATTTTGTTTCTTTGTGTTGCATACATTTTGTACAAAATGAATTTATCAAATAAGCACATACCTAATGTCATGATTTAATGATGTGTTATGTTTTGAAGAATGAATAACAGTGTATAACTCTCAGAAACCTGTTTATCTTCAGTCTTGTATAGTTTCAGTGACTGGTTCTATTTTTGTTTTTTAGGATGATATTTTAATATCTAGAAGCTCTATTAGTTCTTTTCCAAATCTGCTTTTTTAAAAAGTGTACTATTTTTCTTTTTCTGTGGTTTTAGATTTTACTGTCTTTAGTATTTTTAAACATGCTCATTTTAGCGTGTTTAATCCAGGAGTTTTGTTGTCTGGAGTCCTTGGGGTCTCCTGCTGTGTTTGCTCTTGGTCGCTGTGGGATTCTGTGGTGTGAATCTGTCTCTGGCGGGGAGTCCGGTGCAGTCTGCTGAAAGCCCTCCGGTAGCTTCACAGCCGTCACTGCCTGGTTTCCTAGGAGTGCCGCTGGGCTGAGGTCCCTTTTCGTTTGGTTCTTTGACTTGAGGGTTCCCAGATAATGTGGAAATGTGATGTAAACCACAGACTTAGAGGGATGCTCAGGGAAGACGTTCTCTTCACTCAGACGCGGTTTTGGTGAGCAGACCTGTCTAGTTTATCCTTTATGGAGGGGCCCTTGAGAGTCCTGCCTTTGGGGCTCTGTTGCGTGTAGGTTCTCTCTCCCTGACGAGGCGTGAGAAAGTACAGAGAAGACTCCGAGCGCAGGCCCAAGATGCTGTCCTGGGAAAGGCCCTCACTGCGCCTGGGAGGTTGGTTTCCAGTGAGTTCCTGCCCTTCTCTGATAAGGGTGGCTCGCTGTGCCTTGGTGTGCGTGCAGACGTCGTGGTCTATGCTGGGGCTGGAATGGGGTATGTGCCAAGCAGAGATGCCCACACAGCCAGCCCCCAATGAGATCTGATGAGCTTCCCTAGTGGACAGCAGTTCACATGGTTGTCACGGTTTGACACTGGGAGGATGAAGTGTGACCCTGTGTGACCCCCCAGGGAGGGGACTCTGGAAGGTTGTGCCTGGCTTCCCCGACTACAGCCCCATGCCTTTGCCCTTCCTGGCCGTGCTCCGGGTGAGGCCTCCCAGCCCCACCAGGGCATCCGCCAGGTCGGCTCATTGCCCTGGTTTTGAGTTTGCTTGTTGCTTTTGTGCTCTGGGGGTTGTTCCTTGCTTAAAGGTCAGTTCTGCGTTTACAGGGACAGTTTTTGTATTTTATACAGGATTTCGAGGAGTTGGTATCAGGAGTTTTTAGGCTCATGGTTCAGCTGTGGCTGGAAGTGGAAGTCTGGTTGGAAGTCATTGGGAGGCAGTCCAGGACGTGGCTCAGAGTGTGGGCTTGGACCGGGAGGGCCTGTCCCATGAGCCACCCTGTCCTCTACGCCCTCTCATCTGTCGGGCTGTGTGGCACACATGGCGCCTCACTGAACACGGGCACCCAGGAATGGTGCCGTCTGCTCTGGCTGGACCCCAGGCCGCCACTGTCAGTCTCATGGCCACGCTGTGCAGGGGTCATAGACTGGCACACAGCTGGAGCCACGTGGTTCTTTCGGGATGGCGGGTCCTTCCCCTGTGGGCGCTGCCCTTGTCTGGGCACTGCTCTTTCCTGCGAGCATCACCTACACCTGGGTCTTGGGTACAGTGCTATTATTTCCTCCCTGGGCCTGTGGTGCCACCTTGGTTACTCTGCTCTTCCCAGCTCTTATCTTGGTACCAACCCCTCTGTGTTCCCTTTCTCTGTAGGTGTGTGATGAGATCAAGACCAAGCTCACCTCCCTGAAGGATGTTCCTAACCGGATTGAGTGTCCCCTCATCTACCACCTGGACGTGGGAGCCATGTACCCCAACATCATCCTGACGAACCGCCTGCAGGTGAGACTTACCTTCCCGCAGCTTCCTGCACCAGGATTGGAACATTCTCTGCCTGAACCCTAATTGCTTTCTTGCTTCCTACTCACAGCCCTCTGCCATGGTAGACGAGGCCACCTGTGCCGCCTGCGACTTCAACAAGCCGGGAGCGAACTGCCAGAGGAAGATGGCCTGGCAGTGGAGGGGCGAGTTCAGTGAGTTGGGCTGGGGGTGCTCAGTTCAATGAGACAGGCGAGCCTAGGGCTCCTTTTGAACCTGCTCCTGTTGCCTCCTTCCCAGTGCCGGCCAGTCGCAGTGAATACCACCGGATCCAGCACCAGCTGGAGTCAGAGAAGTTTCCCCCCTTGTTCCCGGAGGGACCGGCTCGAGCCTTTCATGAGCTGTCCCGTGAGGAACAGGCTAAATACGAGAAGAAGAGGCTGGCGGGTGAGCACCTGGGTGTGGCCTCGGCTTTCTGAACCTGGCAGCTCCAGCTCTGACTGTCCTCACTGGGCCGTGTTGGTATATCACAGCCCATAGCCAGCAGAGTGGTTGTAACAGCAGACCAGCATCTGTTCTAGATTGCTCTGAACTGCTCTTTCTATGGGGTTCCTTTCCTTGTTTCTCCTTCAGCAAGTGTTCAGAAGCTGCTCACTCTCTGTGGTCTTGGCATGTTTGGCCTGTGTGTACTCAGGGGCTGTCCTTTGTTGGGATGATAAACTAGCAGCATATCTGAGTTTCCTGCTCCTGCGTGTCCCTCCACATCCCTGTGTCCCAGGTCTTTCTTTCGTGTCTGGAAGGTCTCACGTATACCCCCTGCCACTCTGAATTGTGCTTAGATTACTGCCGGAAAGCCTACAAGAAGATCCACATCACCAAGGTGGAGGAGCGCATCACCACCATCTGCCAACGGGAAAACTCCTTCTACGTGGACACGGTGCGCGCCTTCCGGGACAGACGCTATGAGTTCAAAGGGCTCCACAAGGTGAGGTCTGAGGCCCTTTGAGAGTTGGCCTTGCTGAGGGCAGGTCAGAGTTTTGTTTCTGAAATGGGGATCTTTGCTAGGCTCTGCCCGGACATTCTTGGCTCACCAACTGGGATGTGGTGGTTTGGATTCTCTGAGCCAGCACACACCCTCAGACGGTTAATGCGCAGATGTGTTTAGCTTTGAAGAGTTCATGGCCAGAAAGGATGTGGCCATCATCCACCCTGGTCTGGGGCTCAGATTGCCCTGAGCAATAGTTCTGAAGTGATTACTTAGTTTAGAACAAGGGCCAGCACGTAACAGCTGGGTGGCAGTTTGGATAAACTTCTGTTGGAACCCAGCTGCGTCCCCGCCACCGTGGGAGGTGAGCAGTTCCGACAAAGTCTGGGGCTCTCGCACCTGCGGGATTCACCATCCGACCTTTAGTTTGGTAACCTCTGATTGGTGAATTAGGGGAGTATTTTAACTGACACATTTCATCCGGCGAGAACAAGGAAGATACACAGCAACAACTCAGTTATGATGTAGGTGGGTGATAGTTTTATATTTACTCAGATCAGGTTATTTCTTCTAAGAGACTGTTCTTCATGGCTACACTGGGTAGGGCCCTCACATCCTCCCACCTGCTGCACCCACCATCACGCCGTATCCCTGCCATGGTACACTCTCTGTTTTAATGGTGGTCAGGTGGACGGAACATGGAATTCAGCATTTCTAAGGGCACTTGCTCAGTGGTGTTGAGCACAGACTGCACCACCACGCATCTCTAGAACTCTTCATCTTCCCACACGGAAACACCGTCCCCATTAAACGCTAACCTCCACCCTGCTGATCCCCCCTGCACCTTCTGTCTGAATTCAACTCCTTTAGGGACCTTTTTATGTCTGAATAATCTTGCATCGCGTGGAAGCCGCTTCTTCCTCGAGAACTGCGCAAACACGTAGCACGTCACGGTCTTCCATCTCACATTCTGCAAAGTCAGTAGCCCAGGGTTTTACTATTGTGAAACAGTTAAAATCTGTAGAAAAGCTGAGAAAACAGTACAGGGAAGACTGCGCAGTCCTCTCCTAGACTGCTGGTTTTGTTTGTCCTTTCATCCGTGACGCTGTGTTGGCTCGTTCCACCTTTGGGCTGTTGTGAGCAGCCCTGCTGTGAACACGGACACGCAGATGTTTCTTCAAGCCTCTGCTTTACGTTCTTTTGAATCCACACCCAGAAGTAGAATTGTTAGATCATATAATTCTGCGTTTAACCTTCTAAGGAAGTATCATACTATCACTTTATTTTAATTAAACTGTTGCTAAATTACCTGTTCACCCATGTCCCTCATCAGACGGGCACTGAGCGTGCAGCAACTGTGTCTTTCTATTCTTCAGAGTCCAGTGGAGCTCTTGGCATGCAATTGGCCCTTAATAAACATCTTGATCTTTTTCTGTTCTTTAAATACCAATCCTTTAAAAAACTTTTCTTCTCACCTTAGATAGGGAATTTACTGAAATGTTTTTGGCTGCCTTTGCATTTCTTTATAGATTATTTTTACCAGGGTCCTTTCGAGTAACTCGTTTCCCTAAGTCCGACAGAGCAGATAAACCCAGGTTCTCTCGGCCTGCGACGCCGGCCTCACGACAGCTGGTCACATCACAAGCCAGCAATGTGGTGTCCCGATTCCACCCTACAGCTGTGTGCCAGACACTGTCCGGGTGCTAGACATAAGTCAGCTGTGTGGGGAGGCAGTGGAATGTTCTGAGGCAAGGAGAATGTCCAGTGTCACAACCACCGTGATAGCATCTCACTTAGCAAACGGTGGGGGCGGGAGTGCCAGCTCCGGCAAGAGTGGGCCCAGGTCCCCGCTCCCTTAGGCAAGGATTCATCACATTCACGCTCCCACAGTTGTTTCACATCTACTTTATTGAGGCAAAATTCACAGAGGGTAAATCTCACCGCTTTGACGTGTACAGTCCTGTGAATTTTGATAAGCACGTGCAGTTTTATAACCACCGCAGTTAAGACAATGTTTCCACCACCCAAAACACATCCATTTCAAACTTGTGGAATACCACTCAGTCCTTTGTTAGCTTTACTCTGTCTGTCTGCCAAGGCCCAGCGATACAAGTAGTGAGGTCCTTAAATACTGGCTGATGAACAAATGGTCACAGACGTGGCCTCTAACGAGGTGCACTTTGCTCTCTTCCTGTTAGCAGTTTCCTGTGTTTGAGCGCCCTGTGACTCAGCTTGTTGCTCGTACTGGGCAGGGGTCAGCCGCGGGACAGGACTCGAGTGGGAGCCCCGTGGAGGCCTCTGCTGGTCTGCAGATGTTGATTTCATGTTTCTTCAGCTTGTTTTCAGGTCTGGATTCTGTCCTGGGCGTTGACAGAGTCTGAGGCGTCTGTGTGGATTGTTGCCGTCTGTAATCGAGTGTTTCCTCCTAGTCCTTGGTCTCACAGGAGTAAGGATATAACATGGGCTAGGCTTGGTGGCTCACGCCTGTAACCCTAGCACTTTGGGGGGCTGAGGCTAGAGGATCGCTTGAGGCCAGGAGTTGGAGACCAGCCTGAGCAAGAGCAAGACCCTGTCTCTACAAAAAACAGAAAAATCTGTCGGGTGTCGTGGTGCACGCCTGTAGTCCCAACTACTCAGGAGGCTGAGACGAGGATTGCTTGAGCCCAGGACTTTGAGCTTGCAGTGTGCTATGACGATGCCACCACTGCACTCTAGCCCGGGTGACCGAGCGAGACCCTGTCTCAAAAAAAGAAAAAAAACGTGAAACCTGAATGTGTTCCTACTCCTTGAACTCCTTTCAGGAAAGCTGCCTCACCTGGGGCAGATGCAGGACACGTGACAACCAAGCAATAAAAGAAATATGACAAAATGTTAACTGGCCAGTCTAGGAGAGAAGTGTGTGGTGTTCACTGTACTGTTTTTTCGGATTTTGTTTACATTTGAACTTCTTCAAAACATTAAAAACTTAGGCTATTGATTTTGTAGAATACGAAATGGAAACCCATGAGGCCCTAAGTGTGTATGGTTCTCAGGTGTGGAAGAAGAAGCTCTCGGCGGCGGTGGAGGCAGGCGATGCGGCCGAGGTGAAGCGCTGCAAGAACATGGAGGTCCTGTACGACTCGCTGCAGCTGGCGCACAAGTGCATCCTCAACTCCTTCTACGGCTACGTCATGCGCAAGGGGTATGGCCAGACCCGACAGACACTTGTGGGGTGAATGAACAAATGAATGAATGAGTAAACGCATAGGCCCCTTTAAATGACTGGGACACAGTGGGGCGTGGGGGGGTGCCACTCTCCAATTCCAGGAGAGAGCCAGCTTTGGGGCAGGGGGTGACAGGCTGGGAGGTCAAGGAGAGAGGGCCCACCTTGACTTTGAGAGTCTGGGGTGTCCAAGAGAGCTGAGTGCTGCTGGGCGCACTTGTCTCAGCATTGTGGGCTGGAGATTCGATCTGGTTTCCAACATGTTAACATCACTCAGTGCGTGTCCTCACTTGGGGGACGTGGAGAGGATCTGGGTGTCTGCTTCGCGTGTATTTAGAGATGGGCAGAGGAATGTCTCATAAGAGACAGAACCAGGTTGGGGAGCAGCAGAGAGCAGGGCTGGGGCCCAGGGCAGGAGGGGAGAAGCCAGAGGTGAGAATGGGGCTGGGGAGGGGTTTGAAGAGAACAGAGAAGGATCTGGGGTGGTGTGGAGAGTCCTGCTGAAGTGGGAGTTTTAAACTGCTGTGGTGGCAGCCATCGCACCCTTCCAGAACTTTCCTGAGCTGTGCTGGGCACCCTGAGGTAGGGACAGGGAGGCGTCCTCTGGGCAGGGCCAAATTCTGCCTCAGTTCTGTCCTGCTTCAGATGCGTTTGGCCACTTCCCTAGTCCCTTCTCGGGGTCTCTCCCTTGGCCTCTTCCCCTCCGGAGGGAGCCTCACAGCAGCCCCACCCACCTCACAGGGCTCGCTGGTACTCCATGGAGATGGCAGGCATCGTCTGCTTCACGGGGGCCAACATCATCACCCAGGCGCGCGAGCTGATCGAGCAGATCGGGTGAGGACTCACGCAGGCAGGGGGCGGCGTGGGGAGGATGGAGGCTGGGGGCTGCACGCTGGAACCCTGGAGCAGGGCACTGACAGCCTTGTACCCTGTCTCTGAAGGAGGCCGCTAGAACTGGACACAGATGGGATATGGTGCGTCCTGCCCAACAGCTTCCCAGAAAATTTTGTCCTCAAAACAACCAACGCGAAGAAGCCCAGGGTGACCATCTCCTACCCTGGGGCCATGCTGAACATCCTGGTCAAGGTGAGTCCAGTGAGGGGCTTCCAGCCCCGGACTGCAGCCGGCCCTTGCGGATGCCCCGATGGGTCTTGGGGTGACTTCAGCAGCGCTGGAAGTGTCAGGGCTCTTCCCTCAGCCATCTGCGGTCAGACCGCTGTGCTTAGAGGTTACTGAGTGAGTTCTACGCCTTTCTCCTTCAGCACAGCACCCAGAGTTTTTTGCTGTTAACCTTTTATTTTGAAATAATTTTAAACTCATAGAAAATTAAAAAAATAGTACAGAGAGGCCGGGCGCGGTGGCTCACGCCTGTAATCCTAGCACTTTGGGAGGCCGAGGCGGGCGGATTGTTTGAGCTCAGGAGTTCGAAAGCAGCCTGAGCAAGAGCGAGACCCTGTCTCTACTAAAAATAGAAAGAAATTAATCAGACAACTAAAAGTATATAGAAAAAATTAGCCAGGCATGGTGGCGCATGCCTGTAGTCCCAGCTACTCGGGAGGCTGAGGCAGAAGGATTGCTTGAGCCCAGGAGTTTGAGGTTGCTGTGAGCTAGGCTGACGCCATGGCACTCTAGCCTGGGTAACACAGTGAGACTCTGTCTCCAAAAAAAAAAATAGTGCAGAGAATTTCTGGACAGCCTTCAGCCTGCTTCCTGACATTGGCCTCGTGCATGAACCACAGTGTGATTGTCAAAGCTAAGACATTCACGTTGGTACACCTTGTAGCTAAGTTATAGGCTTCAGGTGCAGTTCCCGTTTTCCCCCTCCTGTGCTTCCTCTGTCCCAGATCCCAGCCAGGACCCCCATGGTGTCAGGTCGTCCTGTTTCAGTCCCCTCCAGGTTTGCGCTGCCTCGGCCTGTCCGTGTCTGCCACGACCTCACACTTTGATGTGCTAGTCAGGTATTTTGTTGACTGTCCCTTGATTTGGGATTGTTGTTTCTCATTATCAGACTGCAGTTATTTGGGATTTTTTTTTTGAGGAACACCACGAGTTGATGCCCTCTTGTCGCATTCTCCTGGGCGTGTCTTGTCAGGTCGGGGTCTGTAGTGTTGTGGGACATTGGCTTGGAGCCCGGTGCATGGAGACGTGGTCCCCCAGCCTTATGCTGTTCTGTCAGCAAATCCACACTCCAGGGGAGAGGATCGAGCTCCCCTCCTGGAGAAAGGAGAGTCAAAGAGTTTCTTGGTATATGTTAGAGCCGTCTCAGTAACTAACATTGTGAAAGAGATTTGAGACTGTGCAAATACCCCGTTGCCCCTTAAGCTTTTGCCCACTGATTTTGGTGTTACTGGGGCATTTTGCCTATAGCCATTGTCACTGTGGTGTGTCCTGCGTTGGTTTTCTTCTGTGCGGCGGTTTTCCGTTTCCGCCATTCCTTCTACTTTCATAACCTGGAGTTCTGTGAGGAAGAGTGGTCACCCTTCTCTCCCATTTATTCCCTTGCTTATTAAACTTGCTCATTTGTTTACGCCGGCCTGGACGCACGGTGTCTGCTCTGTTGGGTTACGGTCCAGTACGGCCCTCGTGTTCTGTTGCTCAGTTTGTTCCCCCTTTGGCCACGGGGTGGGTTGGGGGGGGTCCTTCCCTTTTGCCACATGTTCTTGGAATGTGCCCCAATCCATTTTTTTGATTTTGCTTCTGGAGCACTTCCTTCCTTACTGGTAGTACAAGGTGCTCCAGCCTCATCTTGTATTTTCCCTGTTCCAGCCTGGAGTCAGCCAATTCTCCTGGGAGCCAGTTTCCTTTTTCAGGAGAATGGCATGAGAAACCAAGATGGGGTGCTGGCCATGCTCATAACTCCCAGGGTGCCGTAGCTCCTCATGACTCAGTGGGTTGAGCCAGGAAATGCATGTGTGTTGACCCATGCACACAGAGCTGTGTTTATTTCTGTATCTGTGTGTGTGCAAGCTTGTAAATACACGTGTCCGTGTTGACACCTCTAGTTCTGGTCTAGCCCACTTTCCTTGTTAGTGACTTCTTTCTCCTGTGATAATAAACGTGTCTCTGATTTGTTTGCGTAAAACAGTTTCAGATTTGCTACCAGAATTGAGCCCCTGTGAGAAATGAACTCGCCCTCCATGGCACAGCGTCTGTGTACGGTCACTTCTGTCCTTTGTCTTCCACGGTGCAGTCGGCAGAGTCTGCAGGGGCTGCTCCTCTCTTCTCCGCACCCCAGAGTGTTCTCGCACACGTCAACAGCGTGGTGGTGTTGGTTTGTCCCAGTCCGCATCCCCCTTCCCCCAATGGCCTGGTTAATGGGTTTTGATTTGCGTAAGTGAAGTTCACTCTTTGTGCAGCTCTGAGGGCTTTGACAGGCGCAAGTGCCACGCACCGCCACAGAGTGGCACGGCGCCAGCCCCTAGCACTTCCCGTCTGCCACCCCTGTCAGCACACCCTTTCTCCACTCCGAAACCTGGCAACCCCCAGTGCATTTTTTGTGCTATAGTTTTGTGCTTTTCAACATATCAATTGAAGGGAAACATGCAGTCGTAACCTTTGAGTCTGGCCTCTTGGATTCAGCAAGATGCACTTGAGTTTCACCGTGTTGCTGTGCGTATCAGAACTTGCTTCCCTTCTGCTCCCGCGCTGCGTCTGTGACATGGAAGAGCCTCAGTTTGCTGATCCACCTGCTCCTTGTCGGGTGGTTCCAGGTTTGGGCCTTTGTGAGTGATGCTTCCCCTTTTCACTCTTGTTTCTCAGGAAGGCTTCACCAACCACCAGTACCAGGAGCTGGCCGAGCCGTCCTCACTCACCTACGTCACCCGTTCAGAAAACAGCATCTTTTTTGAGGTGGATGGACCCTACCTTGCCATGATCCTTCCAGCCTCCAAGGAAGAAGGCAAGAAACTGAAGAAGAGGTGGGAACCTCACAGCCGTTGTGTTTTGGAAAGGAAACAGATTGAGATGGAGATTTAACAACCCAGTCAGGAAAATGGACCAGGAGCCAGGATGGGGCAGGCCTGGGTTCCTTTGGTCTTACTGATTCAGTTTGCACAGCTCCCGTCACCACCTGTTATGTTCTGGCTCTGTGGGCTGCAGGCCATCAATTCGTTCCATCTTTGAGCAGCATCAGCTTGAGGGTGGAGTGACACTGCCTGCCTGCTGGGGGGTCAGAAAGAGAAGAGGAAGGCAGGGTGAGTATGACAGCTCACACCCCAGTCCTTTCTCACTGCTTCGCTTGTCTGTTGTTCTAGATACGCTGTATTCAATGAAGATGGTTCCCTGGCTGAGCTCAAGGGCTTCGAGGTCAAACGCCGTGGGGAACTGCAGCTGATCAAGATCTTCCAGTCCTCGGTGTTTGAGGCCTTTCTCAAGGGCAGCACGCTGGAAGAGGTGTATGGCTCGGTAGCCAAGGTGGCCGACTACTGGCTGGACGTGTTGTACAGCAAGGTAAGGGCCCAGCTCCTCCTCACCTGGCTCAGAGGGACACAGGGCCCTGCAGGAAAGGGACCTGGTGTTCCCTGGGTGACACCAAGGTGACAGAAGAACTCGGGGCTGAATCTGATGAAATCCAAGCACCAGTGCCCCTCGGGATTTCCCTCAGCTTCTGTATCCTGTGACACAACTCTCGACCCTATGAAGGAAATGTTTTTAAAAATAATATGATAGGCCGGGCGTGGTGGCTCATGCCTGTAATCCTAGCACTCTGGGAGGCTGAGGCGGGCGGATTGTTTTAGCTCAGGAGTTCGAGACCAGCCTGAGCAAGAGGGAGACCCCGTCTCTACCAAAAATAGAAAGAAATTAATTGGACAGCTAAAAATATATAGAAAAAAAATTAGCCGGGCATGGTGGCGCATGCCTGTAGTCCCAGCTACTCGGGAGGCTGAGGCAGGAGGATCGCTTGAGCCCAGGAGTCTGAGGTTGCTGTGAGCTAGGCTGACGCCATGGCACTCACTCTAGCCCGGGCAACACAGTGAGACTCTGTCTCAAAAAAAAAAAAATAAAATAACATGATAATAGGAATTTTAAAAGTTTACCAATAATCACATCAACTTCCTTGATTTTTAAAGTTTTTGTAGGCCCTGCAAATGCACATGTAACTTTTATGATTTATTTATTATTTTTTTGTGGAGATGGAGTCTGGCTTTGTTGCCCAGGCTGGTCTATGACATCTGGCCTCAAGCGATCCTACTGCTTCTGCCTCCAAGCACGCTGGGATTGCAGGCATGAGCCACCGCACCTGGCCAGATTTTCATTGATATAAATAAGGTTGCATGGGAACATCTTGGTACCTACGCCTCTTCCTCCTTTCTTGCATTATTTTCTAGGGGTAGGCATTCTGGGTGGAAGAAACAAAATATTCTGGCGCATATCCTGGCTGGCTTAGCTTTATGGGCTCTGTTTCTCGGCACTCTGTTTCTTGCTCAGCATAGAGCTGACCCATGTGTAAAAGTGAGCACCAGGGAACCACATGGGGCTTTCGTGAGCCGGGCAGAACTCACAGGATGTGGGCCCAGCGGTCGGGGAATGAGCATGCAGAGACACGGCTCCGCTGGCAGGTGGACGTCACACACTGCGGAATTCCACGGCCTCCACTGGCTCCAGCTGCTCTCGGCAGCCAGCGTTTCTCTCTTTCCTCTCTGGCTTCTGCTCCTGTCTTTCTCTTCCTTTCAGGAGAAAAATAGCTGTTTTTTTCCATCTTATGTGGAGTGACTTCCTTAACTACAACCTTGGTGCTCATTGTTCAGTAAATGTTTTGTGATATTTGTCTAATGAAAGCCAAGGCTTTGTGACTTTTTATTTTTTATTTATTTATTTTTTCGGAGACAGAGTCTCACTCTGTTGCCCGGGCTGGAGTGCAGTGGCGTGAGCATAGTTCACCGCAACCTCAAACCCCTGGGCTCAAGCGCTCCTCCTGCATCAGCTTCGCGAGTAGCTGGGACTACAGACGTGCACCACCACGCACGGCGAAAGCTAAAGCTTTGTGTGTGTGTGTGTGTGTGTGTGTGTGTGTGTGTGTGTGTGTGTGTTTTAAGTATTGCTGTGCAGTGGTATGAGGCAGCCCTGTGAAATCGTAGCCTTCAGCTGCACAGGCTGGAGAAATAGGCGTCCCCGTGGAGCACAGTCCTGGGTGAGCTCAGGCTTGACGCCGTTGACTCCTGCTGTGTTGCTTTATCCGTTGTCTCTTTCTCTAGGCGGCTAACATGCCTGATTCAGAGCTGTTCGAGCTGATCTCTGAGAACCGTTCCATGTCTCGGAAGCTGGAAGATTATGGGGAGCAGAAGTCTACGTCCATCAGCACGGCGAAGCGCCTGGCTGAGTTCCTGGGAGACCAGATGGTCAAGGACGCGGGGCTGAGCTGCCGCTACATCATCTCCCGCAAGCCCGAGGGCTCTCCTGTCACCGAGAGGCAAGGCCTTCCTTAAAGATCTGAGTTGTGCTTAATACCAGATGTGGGCAGAGCATAAGTGTCCATCATCCAGAAAGGCATGAATGTGTTTTTTAGGCAATGAAACATCATACAGGAGTTCAGAGGATTGAGTTGTAGCTGCAGGTTACAGCACTGACAGAGCTTGAAACGATGTTGGAATAAAAAGCAAAAACAAGTTGCAAGATAACACATGTAGCTCCACCTGTGTAAAACTTGAAAACATTGCTCTTCCTTTTATGGTTACACAGAACAGCAGTGGTGTAAGCGCCTGGGTGGATCGACAAGTGCCAGGATAGGGGTGTGCTTACCTCCTTGTGAGGAGGGGACAGGCTAGGGACCACACAGGCCTCACCCAGCAGCAGGGTGTTGACGCTTGATGGAGCTGGGCAGGTGCACAGGGTGTATGTCCTCCTTATGTGCCTTGATGTTTATGATGTTTCACAACAGGTGTTTCCTCCAGCGAAGGAAAGAGCCAGTTGCTTTGCTTGTGACATGAGAATGGGCTGGTCCTTTCTAAAAAATAGCCCAACTTTTCTCTGTTTACCCAATGACTAACATTTTAGAAATGTTTACTTCCATGTGTGCGCATGGACGTGTGACTTGCTGTGAGGTTGTGTGTGAACTCTGTTAGCAGTGGGTAAATGCTTGGACGAAGGGCCAGCAGCAGGGGTGGCACATGGAACCACAGTCTTCTAATGAGATGGAGTAGTATGTAGTTACCGAATATTACAAACATCATATATGAGGTACAGTCTGCACCAAATAACAACATTAAATAAAATGTAGGCTATAAATCCTCATTTCCATGTGCATTTGGTGAGAATTATAATTGAATTTAAGGTGATCTTCACTGTTGATGAGTTTTGTATCTTTTTCCCTTGCCCAGGGCTATCCCACTTGCCATCTTCCAGGCAGAGCCCACAGTGAGGAAGCACTTTCTCCGGAAATGGCTTAAGAGCTCTTCCCTTCAAGACTTTGATATTCGGACAGTGAGTGCCTGATTTTTTTCCTACTCTCAAAGTTCAGGAGGAAAGCCAGACGTGGCAGAGTACTCCTGCTCTGGCGTGTGATGAGTTGGGTCGTTCTGTTGTCGGGAGTCTTCTCTCTTCCTCCTTTCTGATATGTATGTCATAAGGCAAAACTGAGAAACGTCACTGCCGGGAGGTGGTGTTCCCTTGGATGGACTAAGGCCCAGGTTCTCAGTCAGCCACCCACCAGCTCCACAGTCTGCTCCCTGCTTCGGTGTCCTCTGTGAAATGGGCACCTTTTCTCACAGCCTTTCTGAGAGGATTGAATAAGATGGCATTTCGCTCAGTGCTCGGTGTGGAGTAAGCTTCCCAAATAGTTCCTGTTCATCGTAGACTCTCTGAGAGGGTTAAATAAGACACAGCATCAGCTCAGTGCTTGGCGTGGAGTAAGCGTCACAGTTGCTGCTGTTGCTGTTTCTTGTTGCCACTCAGATCCTGGATTGGGACTACTACATCGAGAGGCTGGGAAGCGCCATCCAGAAGATCATCACAATCCCCGCAGCTTTGCAGCAGGTGAGCGGGAGCCGGTGACAGGTGGCTGGAAACCAGCGTAGTCAGACAAGGGTCCTTCCCTGATCCGTGTGGTCCTCGTGCAGGTGAAGAACCCAGTGCCACGCGTCAAACACCCTGACTGGCTGCACAGAAAACTGCTGGAGAAGAATGACATCTACAAGCAGAAGAAGATCAGTGAGCTCTTCGTCCTGGAGGGCAGGAGACAGGTAACGGGGTCAAAAAAAAAAAGAATGCAGAAGATAATGACCATATATATATAGATAGATAGATAATAGATAGATACATATATATATCTATATATATATCAAAGTAAGCTGTAAGAGATTCTATATAATTTAAATAGAGACCATGTTTAGAAATTTTTTTTTTTTTTTGAGACAGAGTCTCACTCTGTTGCCCGGGCTAGAGGGCAATGGTGTCATCATAGCTCACAGCAACCTCAAACTCCTGGGCTCAAGCGATCCTCCTGCCTCAGCCTCCCGAGTAGCTGGGACTACAGGCATGCGCCACCATGCCTGGCTAATTTTTTCTATATATTTTTAGTTGTCCAGCTAATTTCTTTCTATTTTTTAGGAGACACGGGGTTTCGAACTCCTGAGCTCAAACAATCGGCCTGCCTTGGCCTCCCAGAGTGCTAGGATTACAGGCGTGAGCCACCACGCCTGGCCCTATTTGGAAATTTTTTAAAAATCACATTTATAAATAACTGAAGGATCAAAGAAGTTGTGATGGAAATTAGACAAAAACAAATAGAAAATAAGTTTTGAACTGAAGAAGTTAAAGAACAAGGTTAAACAGAGGAAGTAGAAAGAAGTTATACAGGTGTGGTGCCTGGGCATGGTGGTGCCTGGGCATGTGCCTGTGGTCCCAGCTACTGGGGAGGATCCCTGAGCCTGGGTGTTCAAGACCAGCCTGGGCAACATAGTGAGACCTCTTCTCAAAAATAAAGAAAGAAGTTACAGATAGGTGGTTATTGCTTACAAAAAAAAAAAAAAGTTACAAAGGCAAGACCACGAATGAATGAAACAATAAAACCAAAAGGATTTATGAAACAGATCTTTTTCAAGATGGATTTTTTTGGTTTTTATTTTAATAAAAACAGGCATAATTACGGATATAAAAAAGCCTAACAAAATGAAAAAATTGCCATTCTCTGCTGAACAATTGGAAAACTTAGATGCAATGGATGGTTCTAGAAGAATTAGGAAAACTAACCTAAGAAGGAATAGAAAACCCATTAGTACTTTAACCATCAAAGAAATTGAATTCATGGCTTAAAAAGAAACACGCTAAACCCAAACTTTTCATATAATAAAAAAAAAAGGAAAAAGCTCCTTAGATCATTTGGTAACCTTGAAAATAAACTTTGGTGAGAAAACTGATGACAGGATAAGAAAGTTATAAGCCATTTTTGGTTACGAACAATAGCTGCAAAAATGTTAACAAACTAAGTTACATAGTGTATCGTAACAGTAATGTTATGACCAACTAGGATTTATGCCAGGAATTCTAGAAATCTAATTCAGTTAATCTTGGGAGAAACTGTTAACCCATCATTAAAGGATGAGACTCATAAGATCGTATCAAATAGATGCACAGTGAACATTTGATAAACTTTAATATCTGTTCATAGTGAAACTTTGAGCAATCAAAATCAAAATAGATGGGTTGTTTGTGAGCCTGATAAATGTATTACACTTCTCAAAACCCACAGCAAACATCACACTTTGTGGCAAAACACTGGAAGCATTCAAGTAAGGAACAAGAAATGGAGGCTATTACTGTTGTTCCAGATTGTTTGGAAGTCCTCACAGCATAATTAAACAAGAAAAAGAATTAAATTTTAAGGGTTGGAAGGGAGGCATAGAACTCATTATTTGCAAATGTAAGATTTTTATGGAAAAAATTGTACAACTTCACTGAACATACAAAAATTTACCCAAAGTAGAAAGAGGTACCTACCATCTTCATGGATGAAAGGACTCAGTATGAGAATGTGGCAGTTTGCCCCAAATTAGTCTAGAATTCAAAGTAATTCCAGTGAAAACATCTGCAGAAGTGTTTTGGCTAGAATGTGACAAACCGTAAAATTCACATGAAGAGGGAAATAAAAGTCATTGGAAATCAAGAAGGGCGAGGGGGAGGAGGGGAGGTGCAGAAACCTACCTAACAGGTGCAACAACACTGCTCGGGTGGTGGACACACTAATAGCCCTAAAAGCCATCCATGTAACAAAAATATTTATACACCCTTAATGTTTCGAAATTTTTTTAAAAAGTTCACACGAAGAATAAGGGTAATAACAACCGAGCAATTTTGACAGGAAAGGAGGGGGATATTCATCCTACTGTGTGACAGGACTCACTGTGCGCACGAGAGCAGTAGAACTAACTGGGAACCTGGGCACAGGCCCAGGTGTGAGTGGGGACAGGGGTGCGTCTCAGCCCTGTCACCCATCAGGGAGGACACCGGTTGCCGCTGCACTGGGCGAGGCCGGGAAAGTGGGTGTTCGTGTTTCAAGTGAACTGCTAGCTCACGCTGAGTGTAAGAACCTCAAATAGAGTAAAGTGAAAAAAAAACTAACATCTTTAGAAGAAAACACCAGAGACTATCCATGATACTGGGGTGGGAAGGGCTTCCTAAGGCACACGTGAAAAACAGATTGTAAAGGTAAAGTCAGTTAACGAAGATTTAAATCTTCTGTAGTCTGCAACAAGAATGGCAGAATGTTGGTAATTGTTGAAGCTGGTAATACAGACATGGGAGCTCATTACTGTGCTTTTGTATGTTTGGAAATTTGCGTAATAGTAAGTCAACAAGTAAATGCAAACCTTTTTATAGCACAGAAGTCACCATAAAATGAAGAGACAAGTCACAATTTAAAGAAGATATTTGGAATGTACAAAAATTAGAAATGGTCCATAAACATGTATATTAGCTATAATATACTGCATCACCAATGGCCCTAAAACTTAGCGACTTAGTTCCTGTGTATTACCTCACACAGCGGGGCTCAGGGTGACGCACAGGCTGCAATTAAGGAATCAGCTGGGACTGTGGTCTCACCCAAAGACTCTGCCGTGGTGGTGACAGGACGTGGTTCCTTCCTGGCCATGGTCTGGAGGTCGTCCTCGGTTCCCTGTTCTGTGGGGCTCTTCACAGGACAGCCTGTGGCTTCTTCAGAGAGGGTGTTGTATAGCTGACCTCAGAAGTGACATCCTGTTGCTTTTGTTATATTCTGTTCATGGAGGCACATCACTAGTCCCGCCGACACTTGGGGAGGGAGTCACCCAGGGAGTGAACGCCAGGAGGCAGGGGTCTCAGGGCTGTTTTGGAAGGCTGCCTGCACAGCTGCAGGATGTTCACCCTCACTGTGAATGAGGAAATGCCATGTGAAATATTTGATGGTGCGTCACACTGAAAACATGTAGGAGTGGTGACATCAGACATCAAAACATGGAGAAACAGGAACTCACCGGTGCCAGAGGAAAAGGTGATCATTCCCTGTGACCCAGGCAGCGCGAGCAAGGAGGGTCACTGAGTCACCCTTTGTAAGTTCGAAAACATAGGAACTAGTCACTCCTCATTTGGAAAGTAATGGATAGGTAAGCTGTAAGGTAAGGTAAGCTGATGTATTTGTACGATGGGATGTTCTAGAAGTTAACATGGAAGGACCATGTCCACATGTGTCCACAGGGGTCAGTCTCAAAAGTTTATGGGTGAATGAAAACATCAGTTGCGCAAGAGCGGGACCCCGTCTCTACTAAAAAATGGAAAGAAATGATCTGGACAACTAAAAATATATATATAGAAAAAATTAGCCGGGCATGGTGGCACATGCCTGTAGTCCCAGCTACTTGGGAGGCTGAGGCAGGAGGATCGCTTGAGCCCAGGAGTGTGAGGTTGCTGTGAGCTAGGATGATGCCACGGCACTCACTCTAGCCCGGGCAACAGAGTGAGACTCTGTCTCAAAAAAAAAAAAATCAGTTGCAGTAGGGTGTGTGCCATATGTCACCATTTAGATTAACTCAAAACTTAGAGCTGCGGCCTGTGTCTGTGGACACATAGGAAAAGCATAAAGATGTGTGTTTCTAGAAGTACGATTTATGGGGACGAGATCCAGAGTTTTGAGTCTCGCTGGGTCTTTCCAGGTCGTGATGGCCCAGGCCCCAGAGGGCAGTCCCAGGCCCAGCGTTGCTGACATGGAGGACTTCGGCCTCACACAGCTGCCCCACCCAGCAGTGCCCGTGGCTACGAAGAGGAAGCGAGTCCTTTGGGAGAGCCAAGAGGAATCTCAGGACCTCGCACTGACTGTGCCCTGGCAGGAGATCTTGGGGCAGCCACCAGCCCTGGGGACCACCCAGGTAAGAGGCAGGGCTGTAGCGCTCTCTGAGGGGTAGCATCCTGACTCCCCGGGAGAGTGGTTGTGAGAATGCCAACCTTGTGCAGAACTTAGAATGTGGGTTGTGGAGGAGGACCCTTCCTCACCACACACCCCCGGCTGTGTTTGCCGCCCGCCCCAGGCTGAGTGGCTGGTCTGGCTCGGGTTCCATAAGAAGAAGTGGCAGCTGCAGGCCCGGCAGCGCCTCGCCCGCAGGAAGAGGCAGCGTCTGGAGTCGGGGAGCATGCTGAGGCCTGGGGCCATCCGAGACGGGCCTGCCACAGGGCTGGGGAGCTTTTTGCGAAAAACTGCCCGCAGCGTTTTGGACCTTCCTTGGCAGATTGTGCAGGTGTGGCCCTCGATCCAAGGGAGGGGCCCTTCTGCAGTGGAGGATAAGGACAGGCCTGTGGCTTCCTGCCTTTCGCAGGGGTCCTGACCCCTGTGCTTGGGGCTTGGTGGAGGCTCCCTGGGAGGTGGCCCGGTCCGCAGGTTTCAGCCTGTCCTGTGACGTGCTGTGCATCTGCCTTTCTTTCAGATCAGCGAGACCAGCCAGGCTGGCCTCTTCCGGCTGTGGGCCGTCATTGGCAGTGACCTGCACTGCATCAAGCTGAGCATTCCTCGAGTGTTCTACGTGAACCAGCGGGTGGCCAAAGCAGAGGACGGGCCTTCGTATCGCAAGGTAGGAGGTGGCTGGTGCCGCTGGTCACTGCAGCCACCTGCGGGCAGTTTCCGAGGTGGTTTCCACAAAATGGGTCAGCCACAAAGATCTAGTAAGCTACGTGGTCTTGCACCTCCATCTTCTCAGCACCCTGTTGGGATGCTGTACAAATTCATCGAAACGATGTCTGATCACTGAGCACAGAACCTGGGGCAGAGCTGATGCCCCATCCTGACCTGTCTGGTGTCCGTGTCGCTGGGGTGGACTGGGCGGCATTTGTGCGAATGCTGTTTCCGTGGGGCATTTTTGTTGTTAATAGCTTTATTGGGATATAAATTCACACACCGTAAAACTCACCCATTTAATATACAGTTCAATGGCCTTTAGTGTGTTCCCAGAGTGGTACAACTATAGCCAGAGTTTTAAAATATTTTCATCACCCCAGAAAGAAACCCTATCTTAGCTGTTGCTGTCCTCCCCCTGCCCTGGGTAACCACTGATCCACTTTCTGCCTCTGGATTTGCCTGCTCTGGGCATTTCATATAAATGGGCCCACATGGTGGGTGGTTCTCTGTGCTGCACTTCTTCCACTTAGCAGAATGTGTCGAGGGTCATGATGCTGCAGCATGTCCCGTGGGCTCCCCAGTTAACACTTTGTCCATCTCAGTTGGGAAGTGAACTGTGGTTTCTTCTTACAAAGCAAGATGGGGCCTGGCACAGTGGCTCACGCCTATGGAATCATCACTTTGGGAGGCTAAGGTGGGAGGACCGTTTAAGGCCAGGAGTTCAAGACCAGCCTAGGCAATAGTGAGACACCATCTCTACAAAAAATTTAAAAATTAGCTGGGTGCTGTGGTATACATCTATAGTCCCAGCTACTTAGGAGGCTGAGGCAGGAGGATGGCTTGAGCCCACAGTTTGGAGGCTATTGTGAGCTGTGATTGTGCTGCACTCTAGCCTGGGCCAAGACTCTGTCTCAAAAAAAAAGGCAAGATGAATGCTTTTCCTTTTAAATTATTTTTCATTTTCAAGGCAGGGAGTGGCAAATTGTTTTTTTTCCTTTCACTTTTTTCTCTTTTTAAAATGATACTATGAGGGCCGCGCACGGTCGCTCACGCCTTTAATCCTAGCACTCTGGGAGGCCAAGGCGGGTAGATCATTTGAGCTCAGGAGTTCAAGACCAGCCTGAGCAAGAGTGAGACCCCGTCTCTACTAAAAATAGAAAGAAATTGGCTGGACAACTAAAAATATATAGAAGAAATCAGCCGGGCATGGTGGCGCATGCCTATAGTCCCAGCTACCCGGGAGGCTGAGGCAGAAGGATTGCTTGAGCCCAGGAGTTTGGAGGCTGCAGTGAGCTACAGTGATGCCACAGTACTCTAAGTAGGACAAAAGAGTAATACACCATCTCAAAAAAAAAAAAGACATTATTTGAATCATTTTACTTAAAGTTGCAATTTCTAAGAACCAATTGATGATGTTAAATGAGGACATGCTGTAATTTACACGTGGTTAAATGCAGATTTTAAATGTATGGTTCGATTGGTTTGATGTATGAGTATTCCCTGTGTCACCCAAACACAGCCAGAGGGCATTCTTGTCCCCTTCCTGTCCTTCAGTTGTGGAGCTCAGTTCTGTGTTCCTGTAACTTCAGGTGCATTTGATTTTCTAGAGCTTCACATTCATGGGACCAGTCAGTACACCCTGTGGACAGTCATTATTTTTCTGAGACTCAAATTACCCCACACCGGGCCACGGAGTCCCTTCAGGACAGCTCCTGAGTCCTTTCCAAAGTCCCTGTTAGTCTTGGAATACTTGGTTTTTGGCCACTGAGGTCCCAGGCTCACTGCATACTTCCCCAGGCGTGGACTTGGCCACTCCTCCAGGAGCCCAAGCCTTTTGTCGTGTTGAGAAACTGGGGGTAGAGGGGGCAGGTGTTATCTCTGGGTGTCATTTCATCTAGATCCTTCAGTGGACAGCCAAGAAATGCATATAAAATAATATACACTTAAACTAATCCTTCCAATTCAGATTTACCATGACTTAATTTTCTCTTAATTTCTTTGATTTTCATATCTGTGTCTCAATTTAGACTACTAAAAAATCTGAAAATCTTAATTGTTAATAACATTAAGACATTTACATGTCTGCCTTCTGCTACACTGTATATAAAATAGTTTGGAGTTATACCAATATTACTAAAAACAATAAAACTGCTAAGTTAAGATTTTTTTTGGTTGTTTTAGGCCTTCGAATACATATGTCTTTCAAAGAATATTTAATAAGAGTTTTCTTTCCCAGAAGTATTGTGGAATAATTATTTCCTCTGAATAGTTATGGTATCATATTAACAAACAGCTAGATTTATTTAGCTGTTTCTGTTTTTAATTTTAGGGAGAGTTTGATTTTTTTACATTTTGATTTAATTTTATGATTTTATTTATTTATTGAGACAGGGTCTTGCTCTGCTGCCCAGGCTGGAGTGCAGTGGCGCCATCACAGCTCACTGCAGCCTCGAACTCCTGGGCTCAGGCCATTCTCCCACCTCGCCCTCCTGGGTAGCCAGGACCCCCCGGCTTGACCCCCCAGTATGAGGGGTCTTGTCCCCATCTCAGAGGCCAAGGTTGCTTTTTAAAATCACGTCCAGAGCTTTTAGTTGTAATCATTGGGAGAGGTGGGCTGCGGTGGGTTTACCTGACCATTGTGGGCACTGGAAGTGCTGGGACTCTGAAGAGCGTACACGTGTGTGCGCATGTGCGCATAACAGACGTTACTGATTAAGCTGTGTGACGAGATCTTCGCCGCCTTGTCACCAGGTAAATCGAGTCCTTCCTCGCTCCAACGTGGTCTATAATCTCTACGAGTATTCAGTGCCGGAAGACATGTACCAGGAACACATCAACGAGATCAACACCGAGCTGTCGGCACCCGACATCGAGGGTGTATATGAGACTCAGGTAGCCGTGTCCCAGCCACACTTGGCTGAGCCGGGTGGGGATGCAGCGGGTGAGGTGGAGGAAAGACACCCACACAGAGTGTGGGCCAGGCGGCAGTGATGGTGGACCCTATCCCGTTGGGGAGGGGAGTCTGGGCAGTGGATCTGCTGAAGGTGGCCTGTGGGCAGTGGGCCCTGCGGCTGCTGAGGGGGCGGGTCCCGCGTGCAGCACTGGAGCCCTCGCCCACCACCCCCTTCCAGGTCCCATTGTTGTTCCGGGCCCTGGTGCAGCTGGGCTGTGTGTGTGTCGTCAATAAACAGCTGGTCAGACACCTTTCAGGCTGGGAAGCAGACACCTTTGCTCTCGGGCACCTGGAGATGCGTTCTCTGGCCCAGTTCAGCTACCTGGAACCAGGTATGGCCTATGCCGGCTGCCCCAACACACACCCTGCCTCCGCATATCCCAGGTGACAGCTCCTGTCCTTTGCAGGGAGCATCCGCCACATCTACCTGTATCACCACTCGCAGGGCCACAAAGCACTCTTTGGGCTCTTCATCCCCTCACAGCGCAGAGCATCCGTGTTTGTGTTGGACACCGTGAGTCCCTGGGCCCGCTGTGGAGCGCTGTTGGGGACAGGATCTAGGGAAGGAGGACGCTTTCTCCTGTCTTCCTCCTCAAGGGCCTCTGCTCAGAGTGCCTGTCACCACTGCAGTGGTCTGTAATGGCAGAGTGAGGTCCACCCCCAGGGGCCTCTGCTTGATCCCACGCAGCAGAGGGCTGATGCGGCCTTGTTTGCCTAGGTGCGCAGCAACCAGATGCCCAGCCTCAGCGCCCTGTACTCAGCAGAGCACAGCCTCCTGCTGGACAGGGTGGGCCCTGAGCTCCTGCCGCCTTCCAAGCACACGTTTGAAGTTCGGGCTGAAACTGACCTGAAGACCATCTGCAGAGCTATCCAGCGCTTCCTTCTTGCCTACAAGGTGCGGTGGTCTTGGTCCTGCGTGGGAGCCCCCATCTTCTCGAGGCTTAGGCCCACAAGGTCCTTTCTTCCCTCCTGCCCTGACCCAGGAGGAGCGCCGGGGGCCCACACTCATTGCTGTTCAGTCCAGCTGGGAGCTGAGGAGGCTGGCCAGTGAGGTCCCCATCTTGGAGGAATTCCCACTGGTGCCTATCCGCGTGGCTGACAAGATCAGCTATGGTGTCCTGGACTGGCAACGCCATGGCGCACGCCGCATGATCCGGCACTACCTCAACCTGGACACCTGCCTGTCACAGGCCTTCGAGATGAGCAGGTGGGCCACAGGGAGCGTCCTGGGTGTGCAGGGCCTGGGTGGTCTCCAGCGATGCTCCCTGGGGCTGACCTGTGCCCTGTGCAGGTACTTTCACATTCCCATTGGGAACCTGCCAGAGGACATCTCCACCTTTGGCTCCGACCTCTTCTTTGCCCGCCACCTCCAGCGCCACAACCACCTGCTATGGCTGTCCCCGACGGCCCGCCCTGACCTGGGTGGGAAGGAGGCCGACGATAACCGCCTGGTCATGGAGTTCGATGACCGAGCCAGCGTGGAGATCAACAGCTCAGGCTGTTACTCCACAGGTAAGTGGGCGGGAGGGCGAGCTCATGCGAGCTGGCGTGGTATGTCTGCCCTTATGACGTCCTGTCCAGGCACAAGTGCCCAGCAACGGGCCTGGGGCTTGACCACACAGGAGTGCGTCCTGGGGTCCAAGGGCCTGGCAGGCGCTCCGTGCCTCAGGGGCCCTCGGGAAGCCGAGTGGCCTGGTGGGTTTGGGGAACAGGTGCTGGCAGGTCCGATGCTGGTCAGAGGACACGTGCTGTGCCCTGACCCTGCCGGGCAGTGCCGTATCTCCTAGAGGTGGTACTGGCTGGGATTGGGCCCTGGGGGTGGCAGCGCCAGAGCTGGTGGGGCGCTTGCCCAGTCTGGCGTCTTCCTGTGCAGTATGCGTGGAGCTGGACCTTCAGAACCTGGCCGTCAACACCATCCTCCAGTCCCACCATGTCAACGACATGGAGGGTGCCGACAGCATGGGCATCAGCTTCGACGTGATCCAGCAGGCCTCCCTGGAGGACATGATCACAGGCGGTCAGGCTGCCAGCGCCCCAGCCAGCTATGACGAGACGGCCCTCTGCTCTAACACCTTCAGGTGCTGCCCTCTCCTGGGAGCATCAGGAGGAGTTTTATCCTCTGCCCTTAATTTGGAAAGCTAAGGTCTAAGACAGTGTCCCTCAGGCTTCCCTTAGCCAAGTCCACAGACCCAGAAACCACCAAGTGGCAAGGTTTCCCTGCAGTCCCCTGCCTTTACGGCCTGTGCGTGTGTCCTCTGGTCACCTGTGGCCACCCCAGGTGCTACCTCTTACCTCCCTGTGGCCGGAGCCATTTCACACAAAGGCTGTGTAAGCCAGGGCTGCTTTTCAAGGTGGGCAGAGGCACATCAGCAGGAATCCGTGGCTAGCTGGATGGAATGAGTTGCGAGTCATCGGCATTTGGGTGGCAGGAGAGGTTTGCTGCAGGGCCGATGGGCGGCTGCATGCAGCACTTGCTCACGGTGGTTCGTGCCAGGAAGTGGGCTGAGCACTCTCACCTGCCTCAGTCCCGCAGCAGCCCTGCTGGGTGGTGCGATTATCACCCATTTTACAAACGAGGACACTGAGGTCAGAGGGGCTGCCACTGTGGTCGTAGTTGTGCCACGATGGAGAGAAGGGTCGGCTCTCAGAAACAAGTCTGTGACCGCAGAACGCGTCCCTCAGCCGCTGCTCTGCCGCTGTCACACGAAAGGAGGACAGAATTGGTTGGAACTGGGGAGACCAGACGGGGAGGCGGTTGGGGGCCAGGACCAGGGTCTTGGCAGAAAAGTCGGCAATTCAGTTCTGACAGGTAGAGAAAGTGGGCTGCAGATGGCAGAAATTCTCACAAGTTATCCAGGGTGGCTTACCCTGGGAAGTCATGGTGAAAGTGGATGCTAGGGGTGTGACTTTGGCCTCTTCAGGTTCTGTTGTAACAATCTGTTGCTGACACCAGCGAAGCTCTTCCCAGCACTTCAGCAGGGTGAGGTGCTGTTTGGAGAGCCCCCACCTAAACTGGGGTTCTAACTCTGGAGTAGTTGGCAACCCCACCTTCACTGGACGTGACGTTCACAGTGTTTACCTGGAGGATGGCCCAACGCCTGATTGTCCCACCTGTGGCCGGGGCGTCCCTCACGTGGGAAACTTGTTTATTCTGGCAGATGCTCTTGTGGCTCTTGTCTGACCGGTGTCCAGTTTGTGCCTGAGCATCGCTGTGGAGCTGGGAGCCCAGCCTTCTGTTCCCCCGTATCCTAGGGAAAACCCGGCCGCGGGCAGCCCATACTTCTTCAGATGGAAGGCGCAGAAGGAAACAATAGGAAACACACCACAAAAGGAACCATGTTCAAAGACTTACTACTTAGAGATCCTGGGCAGGGAGGGCAGTCCTCTGTCCCCAGATCACACGAGGCAGGATGAAGAGTCGGGCAGAGCGGGAGCCTGCGCATGTGGCATCTAGCAGTGGATATGAGGCGACAGGGCGTGGGCACTCTCAGTTCACGGCAAATGCCTGAATGGTCCACTTACAGGAAGTGGCAGGAAAGCAGGGAGCCCAGTCTGGCAGGTGGGAGAGTCATGTCCAAGTGCTCGTTTCTGGCCACTGGCTTGGCCACGTGGTGTGGTGTTCTCCTTCTAATGTCCAGGCAGCAGCCTCTGCTGTGTCGTCTTGTGACAGGGCCCTGCCAGACCACACACTCGCTGCCTTGTGCTGTGCTGCTCCTGGAGGGCAAGGACCCCCCTTGTCAGTCTGCGAGGGTTTGAGTTGCTCGAGGGAGGTGGTGAGGCATGAACTAGCCGGAGGGGTGCGATGGAAAGAAACCGGCGAGGTGAAGGGATGAAGTTTGGACAGTGACTTGGTGAGGGGGCAGAAAGGAGGGGCGAGAACTACAACTGAGATCGGGACCTGGCTACACAGGGAAAACCCGCACCCGTGAGAGTTGAGGATCCGGCATGGCGGCAGCATGTGGGCGGTGGGGACGTCCTCCTGCTCCTGTCTTCCAGGATCCTGAAGAGCATGGTGGTAGGCTGGGTGAAGGAGATCACGCAGTACCACAACATCTACGCGGACAACCAGGTCATGCACTTCTACCGCTGGCTTCGCTCGCCATCCTCTCTGCTTCACGACCCTGCCCTGCACCGGACGCTCCATAACATGATGAAGAAGCTCTTCCTGCAGTGAGTGCGCCATTGCCCCCAGCACTGTAGACGCTTCCTCTGCTATGGTGATCCCTAGGTCCCAAAACCAGAGAGGTGGCTAATCAGTACTTCTGGGCAGACAGGCCGTTTGGGGTTCATAGCACGTGATGATCGAAAGGGTCCCAGGAGATCCCTGGCTGCTATTGCAGCTTTGTGCGCGCCCTCCCTGAGGTTGTTAGAGGATGCGTCATCTTTGCCTCTCATTTGTACAAATAGTGGTGCACCGCATTTATTGTCGCGCACCTTGCTTTCGTCCATAGTATATCGTGGAGATCTGTATGGGGATGTTCCACACAAGTAGACATTTAAGCTGTTTTTAGCCTTGTGCTACTACAGATAACACATCAGTGGATGGCTTTGGGCATGGGGTCAGGCACGCACACCTGCAGAGTGGTTTCTGAGAGGCTGCAGGCCTGTGGGAATTAAAACCAGCTGGGTTGGTGCTGGTTTGGTGGGCGTTGCCGGGGCGTCCCTGCGGAGGCTCATGGTTGAGAACGCCTGTCCCCCGGCCCTGCCTCGACCGTGTGGCTGGCACTGTTCCCAGCCGGATGGGGTGGAGACGCTGTCTCAGCGTGGTCCCAATTTGTTATTCTTACAAGGAGTGAAGTCGACGTTGCTCTTCAAGCCCTCCCCAGCTTCACTGGATGGGGTCCATTTTTCTGTAGTCCCATTGGTTTTTCTCTTACTAAGTTTTGTGTGAGCTCGTGCTATAGAAAAAGTAGCCATTTTTATGTGATGAGAACTTGGCAAATTTTTTCTCAGTGTTTGGTTATCTCTTGCCTTTGTTCGTGGTGGTTTTGCCACGCAGAAATCTGTGCTCTTTTTTGCGTCTGGATCTAAGGATATTACGAGGCTTTTCCACGTGTTTCTCCTTGTATTTCTTTTGATGCTTTCTGTTTTTTTTACACACCATGGCATCTCTGCCAGCGATTCTGAACTCACTTCACAGGCTCATCGCTGAGTTCAAGCGCCTAGGGTCATCGGTCATCTATGCCAACTTCAACCGCATCATCCTCTGCACGAAGAAGCGCCGAATCGAAGATGCCATTGCCTACGTGGAGTACATCACCAGCAGGTGGGGTCGAGCAGTGCTGCCGGTGCAGCCTGGGGCTTTGGGAGAGATGCTGAGAGGGCCCCCGCAATGCCAGGTGTTCCCGTGGCTAGACCGGGAGGTCCTCAGGAGCACAGCGTTCACCAAGGATGAAGCAACAATAGCACAAAAAGGGTGGTTCCTGCCATCCAAGTATTGGAGCAAATCATAGGCCAGCTCAGGTGTACATGCATGTTGCCTGAGTTTAGAAAGTTCAGGGAGTGTCCACCTTTGGTGAGCAGGTTCCGTACAGTGTTGATGTATAAACCTTTCATAGACATCAGTGCTGGCAACTGAGAGTGGTGTGATTCCAGGGTGGTCAGTCTGTGCAAAGCACTCGCCTGTCAGAGCCAGGCGTTGTAGTTCTGGCTTTCAGGCAGCCACTACCTGCCTGCGTTACAGGCACATTCCTGGGGCGCCTTGGCTATGCTCATCATACGCTTGATTGTCTCTAAATGAAAACTGAAGACACAACAACAAAGAACTTCCAATACCACTTCTCTCCTTTTATTCGGTTGATGGTGGGAAGCTCCCACTCCCAGGGTGTGCTCACACTGGGCAAGAGGGAAGCGCTTTTCCAAGCACAGAGGATCTGCATAGGTGGGGTCTGCGCATGGTGACAGGAGCAGCATCAGGGCACTGCAGAGAGGGTTGGCATAAGTTGAGGATGGGTCTTATCACTAAATATTAATGGTAGGAGGTGGAGCTTAGAAGACTTTTATTCCTAATCAGAACATATGCACTGGAGTCCCTTGAACAAAAGACCTCCGCTGTCTTCCTGCAGACCCGCGCTGTGCCTCACAGGCTGGCTCAGCCTGCTTCAGTCAGGGTGGCTGAGTATCAGGGGAGGGCAGGCCTTTCCCAGGGGCTGTGGGAGGCTCCAGGAGTGGCGGGCTGGGCTGTGTTGTTAACCGGGGTGCCGTTCTCCCCCTCTGAGCCTGAGCAGTTGGGGGAACAAAGAACATCCTCCTGCAGGAGTCATGGTTTGGGTTATTTAGCTGCATTTTAAAAGCTGTTATTATTTAGGATTTCCTTCCTTCTTCCTTTGTTTTTTCATGGCCTGTGTGCGTGGAGGGTTGGGTGAATCGTGGGGAGGCCAGCATGACTGAGGGATGGGAGTGAAGACAGCCTAGAAGGGCTTGGTGGTGGGGAGCAGTGTTGTCAGTTCCCCGTGTCTGCAGATGGTCCGAGGCCATGGAACAGTTAACTCGCGCCTGCCCGGGCGCCAGAGTACATCCAGCGGGGTCCCAGCTGCTCTTCTTGGCAGCCTCCTTGGTGCTGCGTGTGCACTCTCCCCAGGAAGCCTGGGGATGACACCATCTGAGTGAACTTAGGTTCGCTCTTAAGAGGAGGTGCAAAGGGAAAGAGGAAGGTGGAGAACGAGGGAAACCGTTGGCTCCATTTAAGCAGCTTCTTCCACGCTTGTTCCACAGCATCCATTCTAAGGACATCTTCCATTCCCTGACGATTTCTTTCTCTCGATGCTGGGAATTTCTCCTCTGGATGGATCCTTCTAACTACGGTGGAATTAAAGGGAAGGTTTCACCCAGTGTTCACTGTGGACAGGTAAGAGCTACGGTCCGCAGCATCCCTGGCGCAGGCCGGGCTGTGCAGCAGCAAATACTGCAGACTCCATTCTGCTCCGGTTATTCTATGAGGAAGATCGTGAGCAAACACACACAGAACTGCCAGCCCACGTGGGGACAGGAGGCTGTGGTGGCTCAGGAGGTGCAGCCCAGGCAGGGCTGACGTGGGAACAGAGCTGGGAGGAGTGAGCAGGGTCCTGTGAGTGTGAGGGGCCTCTCAGGGTGGCTGGCCTGGGTGCGGTGGTGCTCTTGGTCGGTGGTCACAGGTGTGAGCAAAGCGCAGGCAGGGCCAGGCCACTCCGAGGGGCTGGGGTGGGGACTTGGCTTTAGTGGGTGTGGGGGTGGGGATTCTGAACCTGGCTTGGCCCCGGTGTGGGTCTCACACCGGCAAAGGTGGAGGCAGGGAGGGCCCTGGGTAGGATTTGAGGTGGAGCCCAGTGGTGAGGAGAGGTGGCTGTGTGGAGTGTGGGGAAGGAAGTCGTGTCTGGCAGGGAGTTACAGCCTTTGTGAGGTCAGAGGTTGAGACGTGGATGGTCAGCTGATACGGGAGTGTCAGGGTGCTGCTGTGTCCTCCACGGGGGTCCTCAGAGGGGACCCAGAGGAAGCTGTGGCAGGCAGAAGAGTCAGAGAGCTGTGGGAGACAGGAAGCTGCTGACTCGATGAGGACAAGGCCACCCTGGACGCCTGGATAGGAGTGATCCTGGCTGCAGTTGGGGTGCAAAACCTGACTGAAGGGGCTCAGAAGATAGTGGGAGGGAAAAAGTGTCTGCGGTGTAGACGACAGCTGAGGAGGGGACAGCGCAGGGTGGGGGCAGGCGCCATATGCGTCAGTGTCTACACAGGAGTGAATGGCGCCGTGGTGGGTATGTGGCACCACACAGGACGGATATCGCAGTAAAGCTCCGTCTGCCATAGCGCCGGGGCTACCGCAGGAAGCGATTCTTGGACTCGGGAGAACTGGTCACTGGGGAAGCTCTGGTTGATTTTCTGTCTTGGGAGGTGGGAGTTGAGCAATTTTAAAGTGAATCCTCCGAAGGAGCAAAATGAGGGTCACGGCCACCCAGGTGGAGCACCGAGTTCTGGGGCCCACTCTTAGGGGCGCAGGAGGCTCAAGGAAGTGGGCTGTAGAGCCAGGTCTGAGGAGGCTTCACTCTGGCCATGATATGTGACACAGGAGTGTGTCTGTGTCATAGCAAGACTCCCAGGAAGGGGAGGGAGCGGAGGGCCAGCAGGAGAGTGAGGAGGAGGAGGAAGAGGAGAAGGAGGAGGAAGATGTGGAGGAACCCGACGACGTGGAGGAGCTACTGGAGAACAACTGGAACATTCTGCAGTTTTTGCCGCAGGCAGCCTCCTGCCAAAGCTACTTCCTCATGATTGTGTCAGGTGAGCCCAGCACGTGGGGCAGGGGGCTCCCGCCAGCAGTCACGCCAGGGTTGACCTGTCGGTGGTTCTGAACGTGGCTCTGGTGCAAGGATATTGATGGTGTGGTAAGAAGGGAGACGGTTGGGAAATCAGGCTAGGTGGAATGCGCAGCACCCGGGAGCTCTCGAGACCCGCCCTGCCTTGGCCACTGCTGCCCCATCCCCCTGCTGTAATGTGTCCCCCTGCAGGATGGCCCACAGGGAGCAGCGGCCCCTGGGCGTGTCCGTGAGGGGTTTCCAGATCTGCTCCTGAGGTCTGTTTCACTGTCAAGCCACATGAGTGTGTGTGTACACAGTAACTAAGGATAAACGCTAACCCTGTAACTTCTGCATCAGTTGCCCACTGGCTGGTCTTTGAGGCCTAACTTTCTGGTGTAGGAAACTCCTATGCCTTGGTTTGGGTCTAGTGTTTGCAAATCAAGTTACATAAGTTAATAGACAAATGAATCATATAAATTAAACACCCTTTGTCATTCAGAGCCGTATGTTCAAGCAGAACAGTTAACGCCCAGTGTAGTAAATCAAACTGTCAGCAGATACACACACACACACACAGAGCAACAGAGATGGTTCCATTTGTGATTGTTTTATATTTTTGCTACTTCCCCTTGAGTCTTTAACTTTCTAAGTTCTCTTATGAAAACTTTTCGAGAAGTTGGCTAATGTTGGGTGACAGCCATCCCTTTGGTTGGGGCCTTTTCTTCGCTCCCTGTGGAGTGAGACGGTTAATGCACATGGCCTTATTCACGTGGCTTTCTCTCTGAGCGTGAGCTCAGGTGTCAGCAAGTGTCCCTGCTGGTTTCCACTTCTCTGATTAACGTTTGGCTCATCTAAAGGCAGGAAATAACATCACTAATAATGACGTTTCAGCCAAACCTTCCTGGCACTCTGACCAGCTGCAGGGTCCTCTCAGACCCTGGTGTGTCTCCGAGCATCCCTGACTCTCAGGACCCACGCCTGCCTCTCTCCACAGCGTACATCGTGGCTGTGTACCACAGCATGAAGGACGGGCTGAGGCGCAGCGCCCCGGGGAGCACCCCCATGAAGAGGAGGGGTGCCAGCCAGTTCTCCCAGGAGGCTGAGGGGGCGGCCGGAGCACTCCCAGGTGAGCCGTCCCTTTCACACGAGGCCTGTGCTGTGAGCCAGTGCCCTGGCCCTTCGGTGCCACAGGCGGTCCAGGCAGGCAGGTGGGAGCTCCCCTGCACCAGGGTGGGCGTGAGTCCTTCCCTCAGCGTCCTTATCTCTTCTAGGGATGATCACCTTCTCTCAAGACTATGTAGCAAACGAACTCACTCAAAGCTTCTTCACCATCACACAGAAGATTCAAAAGAAAGTCACAGGCTCTCGGAACTCGACCGAGCTCTCCGAAATGTTTCCTCACCTCCCTGGTTCTCACCTGCCGCTCAATAACCCTGCTCTGGAGTTCATCAAATACGTGTGCAAGGTGAGAGTGCTAATGTGTGTGCAGGGTGAGGACGTCACACGTGTGCAAGATGGAAATGCATCCGTGTCTGCAAGCTGAGGGGTAGGTGTAAGTCAGTCGTTCTGCCAACGTTTACTGTGTCCCTGTCTTGTGCATTCGCTGTTGAGGCATTTGGGTTCAGGTGTGAACAAGACAGGACAGGCTGTGCCCTCGAGGAGCCAGTGGGACAGGCAGTAAACCAACGAAGGGACAGGTTAGTTCAGAGATGCCTGGGCTGAGGCCGTAGGCACCAGAGGCAGGAGGAAGAACGTCTGGGCAGAGGTGGCTCAGCTGCAAAGGCCCTGGGGAGGGCGAGCTTGCATTTGCGTGTTGGTGAAAGTCATGTCAAGCCCCTGGTGACACAGGGCAGAAGGATGGAGGTGCCGAGGGTCACGGGAGGCCAGTGGGCCTGAGCTCCAGAGACCAGCAAGTGAGATGAGAGCCTTCTCGTCTGATGCCTTTCTGGGAGGGCCGGGTGAGTCCATCATGGGGATAATATTACCAGGTAACGGCCAGGTGGTGTCACCCCTCACAGAGCTCTTCACCATCCCCCTCATCACTTAACCTTCCTGGCAAACTGCGTTTCAGGCACAGGTGAGGTAACACTTGAGATCAAGTGACCACCTCTGGTCTGACTGTGGTAAAGAAATGGTTTTAGTTTGTCATTTTAATTCCTCTGTTGACCTTAAAATGTATAAAATTTACTTTTATTATTTATTTATTTATTTATTTATTTTGAGACAGAGTATTGCTCTGTTGCCCTGGCTAGAGTGCTGTGGCATCAGCCTAGCTCACAGCAACCTCAAACTCCTGGGCTCAAGCGATCCTCCTGCCTCAGCCTCCCGAGTAGCTGGGACTACAGGCATGCGCCACCATGCCCGGCTAATTTTTTATATCTATATATTTTTTTAGTTGTCCAGATCATTTCTTTCTATTTTTTAGTAGAGACGGGGTCTCGCTCTTGCTCAGGCTGGTCTCGAACTCCTGACCTTGAGCGATCCACCCACCTCGGCCTCCCAGAGTGCTAGGATTACAGGTGTGAGCCATCACACCCAGCCTAAAATTTACTTTTATTAAGTACAAATTATATACAGTGAAATCCACCCTTTTTAGTGTGCATTTGTGTTTTGACGAGGCATGTGGCTATGTACCCACTACCACGGTCAAGGTCTAGAACATTCCACCAGGCCCCAGTCAGTGCTCTCTCTGCACTTCCCCTGCCCCTTAACCCCTGACAGCCACTGGCCTGACCTCTGCCTCTGTTTTTTAAGTCCCATGCAGTAAAATTCACTCTGTGGAGTGCGGTTGTGAGAGCTTTCGTGGGGTGGTAGAGATGCGGCACCATCACCAAAACACAGCACAGTCACCTCCCGGAAACGTCCCCTGTGCTGCCCCTCCCCCACCGGCCGTCTGTGGCAGCCGCAGGTCCTTTCCCTGCACTCTCACCTCTTCTGGACTCTCACACGAGTGGTCCTACCGTGTAGCCTTTTAGGTCTTGCTCCCATCAGAACACGGGTTTGTGCCTGTTGCTGCGTGTCAGACCCTTTCCGGTGCTGAGCAGATCCAGCGTGGGCAAGAACCAGTTAGCGCTTCACTCCCTACTTGAAGGACATCTGGGTGGTTTTCACTTTTTGGTGATTGAGAAAGCTGCTACAAACAGTCTATTTCATTTCTCTTAGCTAAAAACCCAGGAGGGAATCGCTGGGTCGTCTTGTTAAGTGTCTGTTTACCTTTGTAAGAAGCTGCCAGACTGTTCTGAGGGGCAGCACCACCTTGCTGTGCCGTTAGCAGTGTGTCCTGCATCCTCACCAGAACTTGGTACTGTTAGTTTCTAAACTGTCAGCTGTTCAAATGGGTATGTAGCGGTATCTTGTGTTTTTGATTTGCATGTCCCTAATGATGGTGACGTGGAGCATTTTCTATGGCTTCTTTGCTTTCCGTGCACCTTCTTTGGTGAAATGTCCAAATCTGTAGCCCATTATTAAAAATTGGATGTTTTCTTATTGATGAGAGGTATATTTTTGTATTTTGAGACTTCTTTTTTTTTTCTTTTTTTTTTGAGACAGAGTCTCACTCTGTTGCCCCGGCTAGAGTGAGTGCTGTGGTGTCAGCCTAGCTCACAGCAACCTCAAACTCCTGGGCTCAAGCAATCCTCCTGCCTCAGCCTCCCGAGTAGCTGGGACTACAGGCATGCGCCACCATGCCCAGCTAATTTTTTCTATATATTTTTAGTTGTCCGATTAATTTCTTTCTATTTTTAGTAGAGATGGGGTCTCGCTCTTGCTCAGGCTGGTTTCGAACTCCTGAGCTCAAACAATCCACCCGCCTCGGCCTCCCAGAGAGCTAGGATTACAGGCGTGAGCCACCGCACCCGGCCCTTTGAGACTTCTTTATATACAGGATATAAGTCCTTGATCAGATATGTGGTTTCCAAATATTTTCTCCTAAACGTTGGCTTGACTTTTTAATATTCTCTTAATAGTATTTTTCAATGAGCAAATTTTAACTTCGATCTAATTTCCCGATTTTTTTATGGGTTGTGCCTTTGGAGTTTTATCTGAGGAATCATTGCTTTAACTGAGGACACAGAGATTTTCTCTTATGTTTTCGTCAAATTTTGTGGTTTTAGGTTTTACAGATAGTCTATGCTCCATTTTGAGGTAATTTTTGTACAATGTGCACGTTATAGATCACGGTTTGTATTTCTACATAAGGATACCTAATTATAGGCACACCTCACTGTGCTTCACAGATACTCCATTTTTTACAAATTGGAGGTTTGTGGCAACCTGTGCCTCTAACACGTCTTGTGGTGCCATTTTTCCAGCAGCATGTGCTCACTTTGTGTCTCTGTCACATTTTAGTAATCTTGCAGTATTTCAGACTCTTTTATTATATCTATTGTTATAATAGTAACATCAAAGATCACAGATCACCATAATTGTTTTGGGGTACCACGAACTGCACCCATGTAAGATGGCAAACTTAATCCGTAAATGTTGTGTGTTCTGACCACTCCACCAACTGGCCATTCTCCCATCTCTTTTCCTCTCCTCTGGCCTCCCTGAGACACATTATATTGAAATTAGGCCAATTAACAACCCTGTGATGGCCTCCAAGTGTTCAAGTGAAAGGATGAGTCACACATCTCTCACTTTAAATCAAACACTAGAAATAGTTAAGCTTAGTGAGGAAGGCATATTAAAAGTCAAGACAGGCTGAAAGCTAAGCCTCTTGCACAGAAAGTTTAGCCAAGTTGTGAATGCACAGAGAAAGTTCTTGAAGGAAGCTGAAACTGTTGCTCTAGTGAACACACGAATGGTAAGAAAGCAAAACAGCCTTATTGCTGACATGGAGACAGTTTCAGTGGTCTGGACAGAAGATCAAACCAGCCACAACATTCCCTTAACATTAGCCAAAGCCTAATCCAGAGCAAGGCCCTGACTCTGCAACTCTGTGAAGGCTGACACAGGTGAGGAAGCTACAGAAGGAAAGTTTGAAGCCAGCACAAGTAGTTTCACGAGGTGGAAGGAAAGAAGCCGTCTTCATAACACGAAAGTGCAAGGTGGAGCAGCAGGTGCTGATGGAGAAGAAGCTGCAGCGAGCTGTCCAGAAGGTCTAGCTGAGATCACTGATGAAGGTGGCCACACTCAACAACAGATTTTTAGTGTAGACAAAAACAGCCTTCTATTGGAAGAAGATGTCATCTAGGACTTTCACAGTGAGAAGTCAATGCCTGGCTTCAAAGGACAGGCTAATGACTCTCTTGTTAGGGGCTAAGGCAGCTGGTGATTTTAAGGTGAAGCCAGTGCTCATTTACCATTCAAAAAATCCTGGAACCCTTAATTATGATGCCAAATCTACTCTGCCTGTGCTTTGTGAATGGAATAACAAAGCCTGGGTGACAGCACATCTGTTTACAGCATGGCTTACTGACTATTCTGAACCCACTGTTGAGACCTACTGCTCAGAAAAAAGGATTCTTTCAAGTCTTATTATTTAAGAAATACATTTTGTAAGGCTATAGCTGCCACAGATAGTGATTCCTCTGATGGATCTGGGCAAAGTAAATTTAAAACCTTCTGGAAAAGAGTCACCATTCTAGATGCCGTTAAGATAACTCGTGATTCATGGGAGGAGGTCAAAATATGAACATTCATGGGAGTTTGGAGGAAGTTGATTCCAACCCTCATGGATGACTTTGAGGGTTCAAGACTTAATTGGAAGAAGTCGCAACAGATGTGGTGGAAACAGCAAGAGAACGAGAATTAGAAGTGGAGCCTAAAGATGAGACTGAATTGCTAAAATCTCATGAAAAAGCTTGAACAGAAGAGGTTTCTTGAGATGGAATCTACCCCTGGTGAAGATGCTGTGAATGTTGTTGAAATGACAATAAAGCATTTAGAAGATGACATAAACTTAGTTGACAAAGCAGTGACAGAGTTTGAGAGGATTGACTCCAATTTTCAAAGTTCTCTTGTGGGTAAAATGGTATCAAACGGCATCGCATGCTACAGAGAAATCTTTCATGAAAGGAAGAGTCAATCAACGCAGCAAACTCCACTCTTGTCTTATTTTAAGAAATTGCCACAGCCGCCCCAGCCTTTAGCAGCCACCACCCTGATCCGTCAGCACCACCAGCAAAGAAGTTACAATTTTCGGAAGGCTCAGATCATCTTTAGCATTTTTTAGCAGTAAAGCATTATTTAATTAAGGTATATATTTTTTTTATACATAATACTGTTGCACACTTAATGGGCTGTAGTCTGATGTAACCGTAACTTTTAGATGCACTGGGAAACCAGAAGCTGTATGTGGCACACTTTACTGCAATATTCACTTCATTGCAGTGATCTGGACCTGAACCCACAATCTCTCTGATCTTCCTGTATTCCAGAACCATTTCTTGAAAGGATTATCCCTTTTCCATTGCATCATCTTTGCACCTTTTTCAGAACTTAATTGGCCACGTCTGTGCATGTCTATTTCTACATTACTTACATATTCCCCTTTCATACCTGGGTTCGACTTGCTTTGTTGAGGACTTTCATGTCTGTGCTCACGATGGTTATTCATCTGCAGTTTCTTCATCTGGTTTTGGTATCAGGGTGATGCTATCCTCATAGAGTGAGTTGTAGTGCTCTCTCTCTCTGATTTTTCTGGAAGATACTGTGTAGGATCAGTGTTGTTTCTTCCTTAAATGTTTAGTAAATTTGCCAGTGGAGCCTCTGCTCACGCACGGAACTGCCAACATGAAGAAGTCAGCTCTCCCCTCCGACACTCTGAAAGCGTTGAGGGAGGGGTGAAGTCTAGCTGAAAAGAGTGGGCTGAGACAGGGAGGTCCAGACAGGCGGGGAGGCCCTGGGTGCTCCCTCCTGACATGGGCTGTGATCTCCCCAGGTGCTGTCCCTAGACACGAACATCACGAACCAGGTGAACAAGCTCAACCGAGACCTGCTGCGCCTGGTGGATGTCGGCGAGTTCTCTGAGGAGGCCCAGTTCAGAGACCCCTGCCACTCCTACGTGCTCCCCGAGGTCATCTGCCACAGCTGCAATTTCTGCAGAGACCTGGACTTGTGCAAGGACTCCTCCTTCTCTCAGGTGGGGCTCAGCTCCAGTGCACCCTCAGCTGGCAGAGCCAGAATGTCCAGGCATCGAGATGATCAGCACGGTCCTGTAGCTCCTGCTTCCCCACTTGGCAGGCTGCACCTGCTGCCCTCAGACTCTTATGTAGACTTGGAGTAGGCACCCTCTCGGGCTGCTCTGCACTGCGTCCCAGGTGTGGTGCAGACAGAGACCAGGGTGATGCCGCAGGCAGATCTCCAGCCCCTTCCCTCCTGCACCAACTCCTCCTGGGGCTGCCACCACAGTGCTGGGACCAGGGCCATGGCCCAACAACCTCTCACTCCTCTCGCTCTGCCTAGGATGGGGCCGTCTTGCCTCAGTGGCTCTGCTCCAACTGTCAGGCAGCCTACGACTCCTCTGCCATCGAGATGGCCCTGGTGGAAGCCCTACAGAGGAAGCTGATGGCCTTCACCCTACAGGACCTGGTGAGTTGCAGGGCCTGTGCCCACCCACCACTCTCTGAGGGCAGGGGTATTTCTGCAAGCCCCATCTGCACTCTAGGGACACTGGGGGTGCGTAGGTCCCAATTCCTACCCAGTGTCCTCTGGGGGGACTGCCTCTGAAGACCCATCCACACCACGAGCCCAGTCAGCTGTCGTGTCAGCATCTGTCAGGCACCTGCCATGGCCTGAACGCTGGCTCTGTGGGAGTCCATGCTAGGGGAGGGAGACAGGTGGTCAACACGGTAGGTGTGAGGGGAACCAAAGGGGGCCGCAGGAATATCTTGCTGAGGAGCATCTGAGCAGAGGCTTGGGGCTGTGCTGGGCTGCCCTGCAGCCATCATGGGACAGTGTCCACTGTCCAAGGCCTGGTGCGATGGACACAGCATGCACAGGGCCTGCGGTAGGATGTCCACGTGAGGAGGGCATGTTGGCAGGGCTTGGGTGAAGTCGTGAATTTTATTCATAACTGAGGACCAACAGGTGCACAGCAGGAACTTGAGGCCTCTTCTTGGCAAAGCCATGAGGAGGTGGTGGGCAGGTCTGGTAGGGTGGGTGGACTGGCGCCCAACAGGGCTACTCCCTTTTCAGGTCTGCCTGAAGTGCCATGGCGTGAAGGAGACCAACATGCCCGTGCACTGCGGCTGCGCAGGGGACTTCGCCCTCACCATCCACACTCAGGTGCGCCCTCCTGGTGGGGTGGTCAGCCTCCTTGACTGCCTCTGGGTGGGACAAGGGTCTCACCGTGCGTTTATTCCTGCAGGTCTTCATGGAGCAGATTAGGATCTTCCAGAACATCGCCCAGCACTACGGCATGTCGTACCTCCTGGAGACCCTGGAGTGGCTGCTGCAGAAGAACCCTCGGCTGGGCCAGTAGCCAGCCCCAGGCTCGTGGGACACCAGCAGCCAGGCCACAAGCCTCCCTGACTCCTCAAACTCGGGACCACAGCACAGGGAAGACCATCTTTGGGGAGCTCAGAAGTAGCAGGAATGAGCGGGAGGGGGAACTGGCTCCGTCCTCAGGAGAGCCGCCTGCTGGAGCAGGTCCCAAGCTGAGAAGCATCTTGAGGATCGTGAGGGGTCGCTGAATAAACACATTTCCAAGACTCTATTGCTTTCTGCACACCACCAGGTGGGATGGGGCGAGAATGTCCTCCCCCATTCTTTCTCCTGACCCCAGAGGCCATGGCCCTTTCTAGGGACCCAGACCCTGCGCCTGTGGGGACCTGGACTTCTGCCTCCCCTTGTCTGTGAACCCTTCTCCTTTAAAGCAGGCTCCAGAGGGGCAGCCTGTGTCACGTGACTCAGGACCCGTCAGTCTCATCTCATGTTTAGCCACGCGTGGCCTCATCCTTCACTTCCTGGCACAGGACTGGACAGAAGCAGGAAAAAAAGAGGCAGCAAACAGTATGAAGTGCGAGTCACAAGCTTGAGACTCCAGACGATGCAGCCTCACAGGAAGGTGGGTACCCCCCCTGGGCTCCCCAGGAGGTACGAGTCACTGGGCTCAAGCTGACCTTAAATCTGTCCTTGCTGGCTAGGTAGCTGTATCAGCTACACTTTCAATTTTTACTTTAACGTTAGGTATAAAATTTAAGTTCTCCAGGTCGTCACTGTGTGTATTGGTGCGAGGCGCCCCCCCCTCTGGAAGGGAGACTGAGTACCACTGGGCCTGTGTTTGGCCCCCCCAGGTGCTGCTCAGGCTGTCGGCCCGGAGAAACCTGATGCCCACTTGGATGGATGGAGCCCTGCGGCCTCCAGAGTGGAGATCAAATCAAATTAGGGCAAGTTGGGCGGGAGGGGGATCCAGCTAGCCGGGCTTCATTCCGGGAAGCGAAGCCAGAGAAGACCCAGGGGAGAGGAGACCAGGCAGCCAGGGACAGCCCCTCGTCCTCCAGCAAGGCCACCCACAGCAGGACCTGGGTTTGCTCAGCACGGCTGTAGCGCCAGCCTGGGGGTCCAGGCATTTGAGGTGGCAGAGGGCGCAGAGAGGGAAACCCAAGCCCCTGGCCTGGTTCCTGAGCACCAGCTAGGGACCCAACTGGAAAAGCCAGTTTCTCTAAAACCAAAGCTGGGCCTCTTCTGAGCCACACACTGAGGTGTCAGGGGACCCTGGGGTGGGGGTTGAGTGTGTGCTGGCTGAAATGAATAGAAGTAGGACCTAGCTCCACGCTACCTGTAAACGTCATTCCAAGTTCAGGTTTTTGGAGGGGTCTGAGTCTCCCCTTCTTCTCTGCCCTCTGGCTGTTGCTGCCCTGGAGCTTGGATTCCTGTCTGTGAGGTGGGATGTCACCTGCTGCAGTCACGGTGAGGTCTGTGCAGCTCAGCACAGTGCCCAGACGCGCTCCTTTGCCATGGAGCCAAGGCCTGGGCTTCTGTGGCAGGGCCCACAGGCGCCTGGCTGACATCCTAGGACGTGGTAACCAGATTACCCGGGGCCCTGATCCGGTTAGTGCCTCTCCCAGCCCTCCCCCGTGCTCACCCTGCCTTGCCTGCCCAGCGCCACACAGTGTGGATGGGCACTTTGACTAGGGCCCGCAGCATCTGAGCTTCCATTTTCCTCGGTTTGTGACCCTGTGAGGGTCACACCGTCCTTTTCCCATGTTTTGGGAGGAACGAGTCCCAGGGTTCCAGTGCACTCAACTGCGTCCCTGTTCCCTGGGCATATCTGGCCTGGCTGGGTGCCAGGGCAGGCAGATGTGTGCCCTGCACACTCAGCACCCAGGCAAGGGATGGGCATTCCACATTGTATTCTTGGGCTCAGATGCTTCTCCCCAAGGAACAAATCCATAAGGTTCTGGTCATGGGTTTATTGGATACTGAGCATGTCGTGACTTCTAAGGGGAAGGGTCCAGGCAGAGCTTGAGGTTACAAGGCTCAAAGTAGGGGCTGGGGGCAGCTTCCCCACAGCCCCAAGAGCAGGGGCAGATGGGGGTGGGGAGCCCTGTGCATGATTGATTGGTGGGGCAGGGGGACATGCCTCTCCCTGCAGACCCCACGAGGCTGGGGAATGGGTGGCAGCCCAGCCCGGGGAGGAGGGCAGCCGTTCCCAGTCTTGTGGAGATGCTCGCCCGCTGAGGTGCCTACATAGGGCCCCTGTCCACCATGCAGGGTCCCCAGTGGAGTGGCCAGGCCGTCAGGGGCCCCAGTTGGGCCCAGGTCTGCAGCATGGCATGATGGGAAGGACAGAAGGCTCAGAGTTGGGCTAAACCTTTGGGATCCGTGGGCGTGGAGTCCTGGTGGGGAAGCTCCGAGGCAGGAAGGCTTTGTCCTGCACTCTGTCGAAGAGTATCCGCCATCTGCTCAGGTGGGGCAGAGATGGGGCAAGGCAGAGGGCACAGGACAGCCGGGCCTACCTCTGCCCTTTGGCCCAAGTGCGACCCTCCTGGGTGGATGGGGCTAGGTGGCCGGTCCACGGAGCAGTGACCAGGTGGGGGAGGGGCCTGGCCCAAAACAAGGGCAAGGGTGACAGGCCAGCTACCCGAGGGGCACCTCGGCTTACACACCTTGTCAAATTTCTTATGGCTGTAGACCTTGTTTTTGTTCATGAATGTTAGCAAGATCCAGTCACACAGGAAGGAGCCCTGGGGCCAGCAGAGACCGTGCGTAAGGGCCTGGCAGACCCCTCCCCCCCAACACCCACCGGGCCCCCACCTGGGCTCCTTACCACCCCGATGGAGGTCAGCGCTGTGGCCAGATTGATGATGGTGGGAATCAGGCTGAACTTGCCGGCCTGGGGAGAACAGGCAGGGCTAGATGGGGCCAGAATGGGGCTGGAGGGAGGGGTGGGGCTAAGCCAGCTCAGTCATGGCTGGAGCCCCCAGTTTCAAGAGGCAGGGAGGGCCAGCCCCACCCCAGCAGGCTGTGCTCACCTGTCCATGCACGATGACGTCGATGCGGATGCCGTAGGCTTTGATGAGCGTGCGGGTTGTGGTGCCGTTCATCTTGTAATACTTGGCAAACCTAGAGCGGGCAACCCGGAAGCCGAGTCCAGGCTGCCTGACCCCGTGGAGGTTGGTGGGGGAGTCCCTGCTTCAAGGGCAGCTCGGAGGGGGGAAGCTCAGGCCTCTGGGGTCCTGCCCCATCTGCTCTGCGGAACTGACATAGCCGGGGGTCAGCCAAGTCCTGAGGACAAGGGTACCTGAAGTTGTAGCCAGACGAGGCGGGGACGTGCTTGGGGTCGAGCCTCCGGAAGGAGTACTTGGGGTTGCACGCGGCTGCAGCCAGGTCCAAGTCACAGTCCCAGTTAATGATGACACCTATGACACCACCCTGCCAGGGCAAGGGAGCCGGTGAAGGCGCCAGTGGCAGCTGAATGGACAGGTGTCAATAATTTAGCAGGCGCACACACACCAAGCCTTGCGGATTGTGTTTCTCTCCTCTGGCCAGGACTGCAGAGGGACTTGTGGCCGTGACAGAGACCCCCCACCCCACCCCCACCCCGGTGCAGGCAGAGCCGCCCCACCCGTCCTCACCTTATGCGCGAGCTCCGTGAAGTTCTCCCCAGCCTGCTCCACGATGAAGCCCAGCTTGAAGATGGGGCAGTAGGGGTCTAAGAGCTCGTCGAAGGAGCAGCGCTTCAGGTACCCATCCTTCCGGTCTGCAATGTTGCCCCTAGGAAGGGGCAGAGGGCAGAGCCTGGCACCCCCAGCAGCTCACTCCCGGCAGGCCGCCCCCATGCCATGCTGGTGCCGTGCCCACTGGCTCTTACTTGGAGAAGCGGAACTTGGGGTAGTGGATGCTGTTCTTGATGAGGATGGTGAAGTTTGGGGCCATCTTACCCAAAAATTGGCTGAAGAGGCACAGGCAGGGATTGTTGAGTCCCCTCTCCAAAAGCCCCCACCCAGCAGGGCCCTCCACCCTTCCCTGGCTCCAGAGTTACCCCCTCCCCAGTGCATCCAGCCTCTGCCAGTGCAGAGAAAGTGGCAGTAGAGCCTCTGGGTGGAAGCCGGGGCCGCAGGTGGGTGGGGTCCCTGAGTGCCCCCACCTGACAGAGGCGCCGTCTTCCACGGGGCACCAGCCAGACACCTCACAGGTCCTGGAGGTCCCCTGGTAGTAGGGTATGCAGCGCCCGGTCCGCAGCCCTGTGGGGCAGACACAGCTGAGCTGGTGGGGGGCATCCCCTCTGGGGCGCTCTGACCTTCTCCCCAGGCCCTCCCCCCGGGGCACACTGACCGTTCCCCAGCATATCCAGTTCCCCAGCCACGCAGTCCTCATCTGAGTGGCAGGCGGCGTTGGGGACCCTCATGCTCTAGGGTGGAGATGCCAGTCAGGGGTCCTGCAGGGACAGGGACCACCCAGGCCCCCCTGCCACTGGACCCAGCCTCACCTCTGGGCAGGTTCCCAGGGCTTGGGAAGGGGTGACCTCGATCCTGGTGATGATGCTGAACACGCTGCCCCCCTGGGCTCAGAAAGAGGGGCCGGTTGGTGGCGACAGCTCCTACTCCCTCATCTCACCCGGGGATGTACCATTAGTCGGGCAGGGGCCAGCTGTACCTCAGGGGGCTTCACGTATTCTTCCACATCCCACACTTTGTGCTCCGACGTGGTGACCCCCTTGACCTTGGTGATGATGGAGCTTTCAGGGCCCGTCTCGCTGTCCTGGTAGCTCTTCTGCACAATGAACACGTACCTGCAGGGCAGGGGCGGTGCCGGCTCCGGAGGCGACCCGGGAAGGTGGGAGCCAGGACCGGGAACCCCCCGCCCCCCCCCGCCGCCTCTCGAACCTCGGGGCGCCCCCCCCGGCCCCGCGCACCACACAAAGTAGAGCAAGATGAGCAGCTGCACCATGCGGTACAGGACGCCCAGACGCCGGTTCCTCACCACGATCACCTTGGGCGTCTCGTAGTCCCAGAAGGCAGACCAGCAGCCCCGGGCCAGGCGCCGGGCCACGGCCGCCCCCGTTAGGGGCTTGGGCTGGGCAGCGGCCATGGCGCGGCCCCACTGCGCGCCCCACCTCCAGGGAAGCTGCTGCTGGAGCCGCCCCAGCCCCGCTGGCGAGGGCGGGCTGGGGGCAAGGCAGTGGGGTGTCCGCTGGGCCCTCCCCCAGGGCGTGGCCTCGAGCACCCTCCCCACCCCTCTGGGCCGGTCGCACTCCAGCGACTGGGCGGGTGTCCCCAGAGGGGTTCTGGGGTGGAGCCGGGCACAGCCGCCCAAGGTGGGGCAGGGAGGCGGCCCTGGGAGCAGTCGAGGGAGGAGCCCCGAGTTGGAGAATGGAGAGCCTGAGTGGGAACTTTCCGAGAATGAGGAGACAGAGCCCCGCCGGATTCCGGCACCGCCAGAGGCAGCGAACACATAGTGTCAAGAGAAGGGGAGAGACCAAAATCTGAAGGAGAAAACGGCCCCCTCCACTAAATTCCCCCCTGTATTTATTTCCAGCTGACTTTTGCACTCAGCAAACAAGCAGCTTCAGGCAGGCGTTCAAAGCTGAACACCGGACCCTTCATTCACTTGCTCACCTCCTTTCCATCCATCGATCCATCCTTTCTTCTGGGCCCAGCCTCCACGTCCCCTTTTTGTATATTTGAAATTAGAGACGGAGTGTGAGTAGGACAAAGATGTAAGCTTCAGCCAGTGGCATTGGGAGGTCATCAGTTGGCAGATCCATCTTGGAAAATAAAAGACACAAAGTAACAAGACCAGGCAGCTCCAGTTGGTAATATAGGTGTTTTGGGGTGGTCACGGGAACACACCCTGTTGTATGATGTAAGTTGGCAACACACAGGAGGATTAGAGGAATGATAAACTACTGACTGGGATATTAAGCCCGCCTGTTCCATTGCTCTGCTGGGAACATGGAGGCAGCCACACCCCTCCAGGCCCTGTCAGTCACTGGCAGACCGAGGCATCTCCAAGTCCCCGTCTTAGGGGCTTAAACACAAGTGGGTTTAACACATGAGCCCAGTAAGCTGTGGCTATACTGCGTGGGAGAAATAAAATAAAAGGAGAAAAAGGCTGCAGAGCAGCCCTCGGGGTACCTGACTGCTGTTCCAGGCAACAATAGCCAAATACGCCAGGAAAGTGTCCCGGGGTAGGGGGAGCCACCAGTTGTATCATCACAGCTGAGGCCTGTGTCTCCAGTTGTCTCAACTGACCCCACACAATCCCGGGCGCCGTCATGGTGTTGTGTGTCTGTCACAGCAGGACCCCCGTGGGCAGCAGCTGGAGGGTGAGCGGTTTCATATGTGGAACCCAGCTCATGACGTGGGCGAACTCGTCTGGAAGGGAACCACTCGGGACCTGTAGAAATGTGAACACAAACATATCCTATTCCCCACGTTAACACACCAAAAAGGCCATCCCAGGTTCCTGTGGAGTCCCATTACCGCACCCACACTTTGTCGGGGCTTGTGTTGGGATCCCGAAAGGGAGGTGTAGTGACAAAGGACCACGGTAGAGGGCGATTGGAGACTGAACACGGTCAAAAAATTAGGAGAGTGTAAACTTTTGGTACTCTTTGTTGTGGAGGGGCAGGGTACTCCCCGCTTTTGTTTTTCCAAATAATTTTTTAAGGTTCAGTTGGTCCACTCAACAACTGCCTGTTGTAGGGAGAGATAACCTTGGCTTGATCTTTTCTGCCAAAGTGTCAGGAAGTAACCCACTTCCGTACACCTTACTGTGCCTGACTTCAAACATTTACTACACTAAGACCCCCTACGCTCTCTACCTTTGTGTCTTAGCAACACCCCTTAGCCAGTTGGGTGAGAATAAGATTGTGCGGTTGAAATTGGGCCAACGGGATGAGACATGACCGTAGGTCTGCTTTAGGTATAAAAGATGAGAACCCCCCCCCCCCCCACTCCCGGTAGCATGCTAGCTGGCAGTTCTGTCGCTGGGCACCCTTCTGATCAGAAGTAAAGGTTTTGCCTTGCCAAGCCCTCTCCCCCTTGGGACCCCCTTTTCTCTCCACCCCTACCTTACAACTCTGAAAACCCACCTGCTGAAAATTCTCAAAACAGTGGGGCTTTGTCTAACCCCCTAGAGGGAGGAGCCAAGGAAGTGAGGACGGAAGGGGCAGATCCTGAGCCACCTCAAGGGCCTCAGCTCCTATCCCAGCCCTATACCCTTCGCTCCCTAATTTAAGAAAAAGAGAACAATGTAAAAAGGATATCCAAAACTTTCCCCTTTCCTTCCCGTGGTGAAAAATCCCAGACTGTATACCCACTTCAGGAACTTCCTCCAGGTGGGGGAGAAATAGTGTTTGTTAATGTTCCCCTTACTAGTTCAGAAGTCAGAAATCAAAAGAAAGAGCTAACACGTCTGTTAGACCCGCATGGGGGTGCAGATCACTTGGATCAATTTCTAGGTCCCCAGATGTACACATGGGCCGAGCTCGTGTGGATCCTGAGTATTCTGTTTTCTGGGGAAGGGAGGAGGAGGATGAGGAGACAGCAATGGCCATCTGGGAGTGCGAGCACCTGGCACACTCAAGCCGGGTGCCCACAGAGGGGAAATTTCCACATCAGGAGCCCCAGCGGGACAATCATAATGAAGCCCATAGAAACGACATGAGAGATCTCAGAAATCTGATTATGAAAGGGATAAGGAAAGCAGTTCCCCATTCTCAAATCATGGGAAGGGCATTCATTATTCAACAAGGGTAGGAGGAAGGACCCGCGGAGTTTTTAACAAGGATAAATGAACAGATGAGAAAGTACTCGGGATTGAATGTCGAAGACCTCATGTTAAAGCTACATTTTGTGACCAACAGTTGGCCCGATATTGCTAAGAAGCTACAAAAACTAGAGGTTGGCAGGATAGGAATTTAGAGAACCTACTCAGAGAGGCAGGTATTGAGAAGAGACAAGGAGAAGCAGAAACAGAAAGCAAAGATTATGCTTTCCTGTGATAGAAAAAGCAACTCAAGGCAATAAGGCCCCTAGAAATCAAAGACCTAAGGCACCCCACGGAGAGTTTCCAGGGACGACTAGGAAAAGGGGGGCCCAGGGGAAGGGAGAGGATACACGTTGCAAGTGTGGGAAGGAAGGACACTTTAAAAGGGAGTGTCCGGACTGGAAGAAAGAGGAAAAGGTGATACCCCTCATGGCTTTTGAGGAAGAACAGGGGGTCAGGGGCTCTTTTGTGTTGAAGGGTCCTACCAAGAGCCCTTGATAAATTTGGGGGTGGGACCCCGAGGGGAGGGAATCACCTTCCTTGTTGACTCAGGAGCCGCCCGCTCCTCTCTAACGTGCCCTCCCGCCACTGTGCACCTGGCCAGTGAGTGTCTGTGTGGATCAGGGGTGAAAGGGGAAAGTTTTTACGTCCCAATTTTCATATACAAAGGCCGGAAAGCACAAGTAGATTTTCTTTTCGTGCCTGAAGCAGGAACAAACCTCCTGAGCCAAGACTTGACATCAAGATTAGGGATAGGATTAGGTTACTAACCAAAGAGCAATTCAAGATTCCTTAAACCTACTGTGCACAGAGGAGGAGGAAAGAATTCTCCCCAAAGTTTGGGCAAAGGAAGGAAATCGAGGAGGGCCAGGTGTTTCCCCAGGAGAAGTTTACCTCAGACTCCAGGGGAGACTGTAAGAAGGAGACAGTACCCAGTTCCTAAAGAAAGAAGGCTCAGAGTACAACGTATTGTAGAAAGTTTACTGAAGGATGGGCTCTTCGAACCCCGTATATCTCCCTTAGACACCCCCATGTTACCTGTACAGAAACCAGATGGATCATAGAGATTAGTTCAGGATTTAAGAGCAGTCAATCAAATTGTCCTGTGGTCCCCAACCCGCATACCCGTCTCAGCAAGATCCCTTACAGTCGTTATGGCTTAGCACAGCGGATCTAAAAGATGCCTTCTGGGCCTGTCCCCTGGCTGAGAATAGCAAAGACTTGTTCCCTTTTGAATGGGAAGA